CAGCTTGAACTGCAGCTAGGTGCCGTACTGCATGTCTCCATGCGCTCCGCGGCAGCAACGGCATGCTGGCAATGCAGTGCCATCCTGCTAACAAGGCGCAAGTCGATACAGCCGATGCCGCGCCTCGCCGCGCGCTCCAGTATCTCCATCCGAGCAGCCGCAACAGTCCCACGAGGACGCTCCGCAACCAGCTCTTCACGGGACAAGGCAAGGTCGGCCTTGATCTTGGCCTTAAGAACGCTGAAACACCCTGTAGTACCAGCTCAAAAGTCGATTAGCTGGCCTTTTAAAAATATATTGTACAGTAGTACAGTATACTGCGTACCTTCAATGGGGTTACACATTGGAGAGTATGGAGCCAGCCGTAGAAGTACGAAGTCGGCTTGTTCAGCGACGCGTTCTTCCGTTTGGTTATGGGCAGGGGCGTTGTCGAGAACGACAACGATTTTCTTGCCCTGGAAGTGCTCTTGAAAGATTGACTTTATTGTAGATTTCCTCAACAAAAGCAGCGTTAACATCCATGCGGATGCTGCCCCTTTGTAACTTATAATGCACCAGCCCTAAATCCGTTGAAACGGCGCACTGTACTTGCAGGTTGGCGCCCCTGGATGGCGGTAAGACGATCGTCGCCCGCTCGCCCCTTCTGGCACGCCCTTGGCTACGTTTACAATACAAGTTATAATTTGTCTCATCGTAATATACGATGAGGTTTCCTGCACTCATGTGCTCGCGCAGCTCTTTGGCAAACTCCATTCGCTTTGCTTTGTTGACTTCGCTGTTGCAAGTCATCGGCTCCACGCGGACCTGTTTCATTAAAATAAAAATATTATTTAAAATAAACATAATATATATTTTACCATTGTAACATACCTGTTTGGTGGTGTACAACTTGCCAATCAGCTTGTTGCTGATTGTCGAGGTGCTTAGGTCCACGCCGAAGTCGAATTGCACCATGTCTCTCATTGCACTGAGAGTGTAGGTGCAATTTTCTTCGAGGTACTCCTCGAGTGCCGCCTCGATCTCCGGAGTGCATTTGAAGTTGGACGGACGGGCTCCTCCGCGCGGGAGCAGCTCCGCCCGTCCTACTTCCACAATTCGACGTGCTGTGGTGGCGGGGATGCCGTTGTGGGCGGCCACAAGCATCCAGTCTCCGCCCGCGCGGTGGCTGTCGAGGACACGTGCTCTGGCAAATGAAGGGTGCGGGGCTCCGGGCATCTTGGAGTAGGAAGAGGCTTGGGACTTGGGAGAAGATTGAAAAGTGAGAGCGAGGAGTGGCAATGAAGTGCTCGCGGGCACGTGGGTTGATCCGCTTTGAACTGCGAATAAACCACTTTGAAGTACGGAGTGCGTTTACTCAACAAATTTGTGAAGTGACATAAATTCTAATGTAAAAGTTGAAAATAAATTTTATAACGTTTTGGTTACTTCACCACTTTGAAGTGGAGTAGCACCATCTTGACCTGGCAAAGGTGTAGAGAACTGTAGTTTCTGGAGCTATCCGAGGTAATGGAGGCGTCGCTCCAAAAAAAGACTCCTTGGAGCTAGAGCGATGCCTCATTACTCCACTGCAGTTAAGTATAGGAGCTAACCACACGGAAATCTATTTTCGTCTGATCGGAGTCAAACTCCAGAATTTACAGTTCTCTATTCGTAGAGCTGCACAACTTTGTAAAATTAGTATACTACTATTAGTATAATATAGTAGTACTACAAAACAAATTGGGATACTACAGCTAATACATATTACTTGCTGTATTAATAGTAGTTTGTGATATACTACGTAGTAGCTTTTTGTTGAAAAAATACTTCAACTAAGATAGTGCTTCATAGTACAGCTGTAGAATTACTTACTGTAGTAAAACACTACCGGTGTGTCAATGAATCCATTAATTATATTGCCTTGCTGCGGGTACCGGTATATGGTTCTCTTGATAGATAAATGAAACTACACTACATCGACAAATGAAGAGTCGAAGCTCACGCTCCCTAATACTTGAATGTCTACCTACCACGCCACTGCCTCTATAGTACGGATTTAGCCGCACCATTGATCTGGCACGACACCTCCAGGAACACCTGGTCCGACGAGGCACCGTTGGGAAAGGCAGCCGAGCGCTGGTCCTCAGAGAACGCGCTCAGTGGGTAGAGGAACGTGACCGACTGGTCGTGCGTCTCCAACAACTTGTCGTTCGACGAAGCCGCCGCTTTGGCCACCGTGGTCGGGAACAGAGCGCCAGTAGACATGCCCTTGCGGATCGTGCTCATGTCGGCCACGGAGCGACGAGTCACCTCGTTCTTGCCGTTCAGAACAGTCAACAGCACTTGGTTCTTCTCGTTCCAAAGCTTCGTCAGCTTCTCATACAGTCGCGAGGTCATCGGCACAGGCTTCACCGTCGTCTTTGTCTTCACGTGCTCGTCATCGTTCTCCACGTCGCTGTGGCCAAACTCGTCGCTATCAGCGCCGAACCAATTCGTGTCGGCCAGAGTAGGGGCGAATGGCTCATCCACCGGGTATACAAATTCCTCAATCAGGTCCGTGTCAAAGCTCATGCCAACGTCCTCGAGCTCCTTTGGGGATGCGCATGAGCCCGAGTCCGTCACATCTGACGCGGCCGACGGCGAGTTCGTCTGCTGAGTTCGAGATTTCTTGTCGGCCGTCATGGCCATGGCGGCGGCCGCGGCAGCACTGGCGGCCGACGTCGTCCACGAAGACACATCCTGGAAATCCTCCCACGAGGTTTTTTCCAGGCAGGCCACGATGCGAGAAGCAATGCTCATCTGGGACAGCTCCTTCACGGGCACAGCGTTGAACATGGACGAGAAGTTGCTCCCATTTGTGACGTTGGCCACCGACTCGCTCTGGCCGCAGAAAGTCACTGAGAACATCATGGCCATCATCATAGCCAGGTTCTTCTTGGCCGCGTGGATCTCGTGATGCGACTGTGTCTGCGCCTCAATCTTCTGACGCTGCTCCTCCTCGGCCAAAGCGGCCGCCACGGGGTCTTCACTGATCGGGGTCAGGCCGTACGCGGCCAAAGGAGATTCGTCCAGGTCGCACAGCAGGTCCTCGCCCACCATGGCCTCGTCCAAGTCTTCCAGACAGGCGGCCCAGTCAACGGCCGGCTCATTGGGAACCATAACGGACTCAGCGTGTGCAACCTTCTCGAGAGGAACAGGTTCCGCCTTGATCTGTGGCTCCTGCTCGATGCTTTCCTTGCGGCCGAGTTTCTGCTTAAGCTGCTCGCTCTCGACGGCCATTGCCGCAAGCTGGTCCTGCAGAGCCTTAAGCTCCTTCTCCTTGGCCTGCAGCTGGTCTTCCAGCTGCCCCACGTACGCTTTTTTGCGCTCACGGTGGAGCTGTGCCGACATGCGGTTGCGAATGAGGCGACGCTTCTTCTTAGCCTCCTTCGAGTCCGGGTCCAAGTGCTCCAGCTGCGCCTCCATAGCGCGCAGACGCTCCTCACCGCTAGGGTCCAGAGCAGCCTCTGTCTTGAGCTTTTTGCTGGCACTGGCGTGGGTCACATCGGCCGCCTCGAGCGGCTTGCGCTTGTCGCGGCGCGCGTTCACGCGGGCCATGCGTTGAGCCTTGCCCGAGTCCGAGTCGGAAGCGGACGAGGACGTCGACGGGGACGACGGGGGCTCGAGCTTGATGAGTCGCTCGCAGGCTGACACGGAGGGGGCCGCGGCCGACGGCGGCAGGCGGATCTGGTCCACGGGCTGCACAGCCTCCGTCGTAGTTTTCCGCTGCTGAGCGCCGTTGGCGCTAGCGGTATTTTGCCAAATAGTGCGGATAAAATCGGTTCATGTTCGACGCTTTCTCTTTTATGCGTGAATGGAAAAGTGTTCTAAAGCGACAGGGAGCGATGAGAGCAAGTAGTTAGTGAGCTGTACTGTAATAAGACAGGCCGTTTCGTCTTGGGGGAGACGCGGGTGCCGTTGGATGAGTGAGCCGAGGGCAAACATACCTTAGCTTCCAAAGTGCGGGGTGATCCCTTCCTATCGGTGTTGCTTCTTATTTGAGGGGCTTACCTCCTCCGATTCCTTTTCCCTTTTGACCTCTGGATTTGGCCGGCGCTTTGATGTGCGTGCGAGGTGCACAGTGCGAAGCATTTAAAAAACCTCACTTCAAGCCCCGGTTATGCTACCGATCTTTGGTGTACCCCACACAATCCCCACACGTTCCTTCTGGAGTCGAGGTTTTTCAGAAAGATACATGCTGACTTCTTCGACGTTTACCTCAAAGATCGCCAATGGCTGGCCACCGTCTGGCAGTCGTAAGATGGCGGCTGCGATCTCCTCCATATGCCCGGTTCATCGAACACCTTGATGCGATGGCTACCGCTTGGCATGCAGAGACTCTCTGAGAGAGAGAGAGCTGTGCTGCGGCCTCTGTCGCGATCAGCCCCGTCTTTCACAAGAATCTTCCTGCTGCGCTCAGGAGTGATGTTTGTTGCGTTGTCAAGCCCCAGTACGGTCGTGCGATTGTGTGACAATTTCCGCGATTCGGCAACGGTTGCAGCTCCCGAATGGCACTCAAAAGTTTACTTTAGAGATGGCGTGCTGCGCTCGCTTCCATCCAGATGGTGCGTTCCGTTAGGAGCTTCGGCGATTATGGACACCACTGCGCCAGCACCGTGAGCACACGCATAGGTGAGCTGAAGGGTACTCGCACTGTTATAAATAACCTCGCAGAGCGCTGGGGAGCAACTTGCTCAGCAAAGTCCTTCTCGTTCAGGAAGCCGCTCGCAACACACCGAGGGCGTCGCAGCTCAGGTTTGCCGCTTTGTTGCCTGGCTGTCACCATCTTGGTGTGGCACGACGAAACGATCATGACCCGCACAAATTGCTCGAATGTGACAACAACGTTGCTTCATGAAGTCGTCTGGATGGTCTCATTCCTCCGCGCCATTTGCTAGGCAGCACCCTACAGTAAGAGCAGTTTAAAAGTTTGTATCTCGTCAATTGACAGCAGCAGCGCGAACCACCGCTGCGCCCAAACTCGTATCTTGCGGATGGATACTTGCACGACAGCTTCGTTGCCGCCAGCGGGATTTCCAGCCTCAACTTGTGCCGCGGACGGGGCGGCAGTGGACAATGCTGCATCTTCAATGCGGGTCAGTGACCCGGTCACGCTCCTTTGTCTGATTTATCCTGGGGCAAAGATTATCCAAAGAGTAATGGTCAAGTTCGATTGCCATAGCTCGAGAGATCTTGTAACAACATCGAGAGCGGCGTGCAGGTGCAGCATTCTCCATGCGCTGTGGAAACGGAGCAAGTCGATGCTCGATCGTCCAAAATAGCGGAGCCGAAGCCATCTCGTTGTGCAACGCAGAAAATCCGCTCGTCGAATATAAAGTGCCCGACGAACCCTTACCGGTCCTTGCAATCTGCGCGATGGTGTTCTACGGCAAACTGGTCCATGCAGACGTGCGACTTGTTTCGCAACTAACCGAGTAAGAAAAGATAAGGCCATCTTATGAAGGTATCGAGCAGTTATGGGGCCAGAAAGTTTCGAAACCGACAACGTTCTTTCGCGTCACCTTTCACGCGCCTAGGCAAGCTCGCTACGCCATCATAATCAATGTGCATTCCAGTACATGTACAGTCGCCCTTACTTGAGACGATACTATTATAAGCGCTTCTTCTACATTGTAGTTCTACATTGCAGAAGCAGCACTTAGTATCGTGTAGTTCTACATTGTAGAAGCAGCACTTAGTATCGTCTCAAGTAAGAGCGACTGTGCATGTACTGTGTTGCACTGCAACGTCAAGCTGGCTTTTTATCCTAGTAAAGGTGTGAGCATATCATAGGACGTCACTCTAACCGATGGTGTTTACCACACAACCTGCGTCTGCCACACCACTTTTGCCGGCCTTTTCGTTCAAAACGGGCGTGTGCGTGGAATCCGGCGTACACTCGGTACGTGGAGGGGATGCCTCCCTCTCAGTCTTAAAGCGCGCCTGGGAGCTACGGCGCTTCTTCCATTTCCCACAATGCACTCTTATTCCTGCTAACCTGAAAATCCCGCCAATTTTCTGCCAGACAGTGAAGCTAACTGCCACACGTTCGGGAGCTACCGAGATATCAGCAGCTACTGCGCCATCGACCCAGCAGAATCCAGCTACAGCGCAGCCTGTAACAGCCCAGCCAGTGCGCCGATGGAAACTACAGCAGATGGACAACCTTCCAGCGAGGATATGGTGCGTAGTGACCCAACTGCCAGCTGTTGAAGCTGCCCGATGCCACGATTGTCATTGGCAGCATTAGATAACACCGTTTTGACTCTAATTGCGCTTGTTGCAGCCAGCCACGTCACCTCCGCAGGGAGCGACGACCAACCCATTCAAGTCTGCGCTGCACAAGTTCGCGCAGAAGAGAAGGAGCGCGTAGCTGCTGCCAACCTCAGCAACGCGGCGACCTCAGGCTTCTTCTCGCGGGGAAATAGCAAGACTGCGGCGCAGCAGAAACCGCAAGCTTTGCCAGGATCGGTCAAGCAGGTGAACACGGGGCAATTGCCCCCAGTATGGGCAACGCCCTCTCCGGCACCTCCGAGGTGCGTACGAAGCTAAACCAAAACGTGTTGTTGGTGCCGGAAAGCTTAATGTCATTATTCTTTTCGACGCTAGGAAATTGTCTTCACCCTTGGACTCGGTCTCGCCGCGACTGCGAAGTGTGTCAGCTGCGGATAGCGAGACTGAAGACGTGTTGTCCAGGTCGTTCGATGCTCATCGTCGGAGTCGTCACTCATTGCACGAAGATGAGCTGGAGCAGGCGGGGCATGGGGCGCATGGAAACTCACATAGTCACAGTCACACGGTCGGTGATAAGGGGAGTCCTCATGCTACTCCGCTGGTGTCTGCTTCGTCTTCACGTAACGCTTCGGGAAATCTCCGCTACATGCAATTTGAGCAGTTGTTGGACAAGGAAGTCGTCGATCTGGATCAACTGCGCAAGCTCAGCTGGGGTGGCGTCCCTACGAACTATCGGCCAACAGTGTGGCGACTGCTGTTGGTACGTAGCTCGGCATGACGTGGTTTACTAGCTTAACTTCTCACTTGTGTTTGTTATAGAGCTATATGCCGTCGAAGAAAGATCGTCGTGCGGCAATGCTGGAGCGCAAACGACAGGAATACCTAGAGCTGCTTCAGCAGTATTATTACATCCCAGACACGGATCGGGGTATGCGTGAACAAACCACACTGCGACAGATCCTCGTCGACATCCCACGCACCAATGCTGACGTAAAGCTCTTCCAGAACGAGCGCATTCATCAGGTGCGGTGCTGTATTTATTGTCTCCATGTCAGTAATATGTTGACAAAGGCAACTGTTTGCAGTGTATGGAGCGTGTTCTGTACATTTGGGCAATCCGACACCCAGCCAGCGGCTACGTACAGGGAATCAACGACCTCATGACGCCGTTCCTAGTCGTTTTTCTGTCGGCTTTTGTCGGTAGATTGACATACTTCTCTTTGTATTACCACAATGGCGGCTAATTATTGTTTTTTTGCTGATACAGACAACCCACAGATGTGTGACTTGACGGACGTATCGGACGAGAACTTGCGAATTGTCGAGGCAGACAGCTACTGGTGTCTGACGAAGCTGCTTGACGACATCCAAGACCACTACACCTTTGCCCAGCCAGGTCTACAACGCATGGTGCAGCGCATGGAAGAACTCGTCCACAGATGTGACACAGAACTGTTCGAGCACATTGTGGAGCACGAGAACGTGCAGTTCGTGCAGTTTGCCTTCCGCTGGATGAACTGTTTGTTAATGCGCGAGCTGCCTCTCGATGGCATCGTACGCATCTGGGACACTTACTTGTGTGAAGACTCGGGCTTCGAGAGCTTCCACGTGTACGTTTGCTCTGCCATTCTCATGACGTTTGGGGAGAACCTCAAGACTCTCGAGTTCCAGGACCTCGTGCTCTTTTTGCAAAGTCTCCCCACGAAGGACTGGGTGGAAAACGAGATCGAGCCTCTCCTCTCGCGTGCGTTTATCCTGCAAACCTACTTCGCTGACGCCCCGAGCCACCTCACCTCGCAAGCAGCTCAATAGGAAGCCAATGTCAAGAAGGAATATTAAATAGGCCGACTACTACAGCAACTTGTACACCCAATTGAACCAGTTTTCATGTTCGAGAACGAGTAAGCACCCTTACATGCATTACTCAATACGATGTAGTACTTCGAAGTACGTAGTAGATCTACAGGAAGACCTTCCTCAGGATGATCAGCCTGCGGATCTAACATTCGCCAAGCGACATCAACCTTTCGTAGACCAAAGTATTGAAACGGAAAAGTGGCGTTGGTATCCATAACCTTGGGTTGAGCAAAGATCTTATTGTTTCTTGTCTTGGATTTAACCTTCCATCACATAATTTGTTAATGCTATGAAACCCGTAGAGCTGCTTCTTCGATACATCTTTGATATAAACCGGGATTGGATTTATGCAAATACACTATCGGTTATTCATTGGATGTCGCTTGCAAGCCGCCAACCATACCAATGTACACGGATCGATCACGGTTTGCGTCCGTGCCATTGCCGTGGAACGTTCATGTACAGGAGAATCAATAGGGCAAGAATATCCAGGGAGGATGAGACCGTCAGGTCAGCGATAAGCTTTCGGCTTGGCAAGAATCTTCATATGCATTGGTCGGTCACGCACCAAGCAGAAATTTACCCACGCGAATTTACTGCGCTGGACTCCAGTCTGCCAGGCTGCCTGGTGCACGAGAGCGAATTTCCTCGCATAACACTCGATGTTCTCGAACTGACGTCCTGAGCCGCGACGACTCCCTGCCGTTACAAAACACGGTAGCGTCTTCTTACTGAAACCAAGTCCCAACTAGTCGCTGAATTTGCTCCCCTACCCTATGTTGGCATTTTCCACTGATTCCCTTCAAAACTGCTCCCATCTGTTTCCGCAGGGTCCATTGGCAATCTTTGCCACGCGGCACTTTGGTTTTCCAGTAGAAAGAGCAAAACCTGTAGACATGGCGGACGACGGCTTTCGCTATGAGCTGGAGACGCCCGAGGCCGTACTGAAGCACTTGGGCGTGACGGAGGAGCAGGGACTGAGCACGGCCGAGGCGGAGAAGCGCCGGGCCGTGCACGGCTACAACGAATTAGACAAGGAGGAGGGCACACCTTTGTGGAAACTCGTGCTGGAACAGTTCGACGATGCGCTGGTCAAGATCCTACTAGGCGCCGCCGTGGTGTCTTTTGCACTGGCTGTGTTTGAGGGTGGCGAAGAGGAGGGCATCGGCGCCTTTGTGGAGCCGCTTGTGATTCTTGTGATCCTCGTACTCAACGCTATTGTGGGTGTGTGGCAGGAGTCAAACGCTGAGGCCGCACTCGAGGCCCTTAAAGACCTACAGCCCGAGAACGCGCGCGTCATGCGCGACGGGGAGATGGTGACGCTGCCCGCTCGTGAGCTCGTTCCCGGTGACGTGGTGGAGATCCGTGTGGGCGACAAAGTGCCGGCCGATCTGCGTCTGCTGTCCATGAAGACGACGGCCATCCGTGTGGAGCAGGCCCAGATGACGGGCGAGTCCACGTCGGTTAACAAGGACATTGACGCTCTTCCGCAGGGCACAGAGAACATTATTCAGGCCAAAACCAACATGCTGTTCGCGGCCACTGTGGTAGTCAATGGCCTGGGCCACGGTGTGGTCACTGAAGTGGGTATGAAGACCGAGATTGGCAAAATCCAGCAGAGCGTCCAAGATGCGTCCAAGGAGGAAGAAGACACGCCACTGACGAAGAAACTGGACGAGTTCGGTGAGCTTCTGTCCAAGGTGATCGCTGTTATCTGCATCGTGGTGTGGATTATCAACTACAAGAACTTCTTCGACCCCATCTACGGGTCGGTGTTTAAAGGCTGCATCTACTACTTCAAGATCGCTGTGGCTTTGGCCGTGGCCGCCATCCCCGAGGGGCTCCCGGCCGTGATCACCACGTGTCTGGCCCTGGGCACGAGGAAAATGGCCAAGAAGAACGCCATTGTGCGCAAGTTGCCGTCAGTCGAGACACTCGGTTGCACGACTGTTATCTGCTCGGACAAGACCGGTACACTCACTACGAACGAGATGTCGTGTGTGACGTTCACGCATCTAGGCAAGTCGGAGACGGAGCTGGTGACGTACGACGTGGAAGGCCACACGTATGCCCCCGTGGGGAAGATTGAAGGTGCTCCTCTGGGTCAGTTCAAGGCGGTGGACTCGCTGGCCACCGTCTGCTCGCTCTGTAACGAGTCGGCCATTGAGTACCGCGACGGTAAATATGTGCGTATCGGTGAGCCCACTGAGGCTGCGCTGAAGGTGCTGGTGGAGAAGATTGGCTTCCCTCAAGACGGCGCGAAGCAGGCCGAGATGCAGTCGCTGCGTGCGTCCAACCCGGAGAAGGCTGTGCAGTTCTGCAACGAATATCTGGAGGCTCAGAACAAGAAACTGGCTGTGCTGGAGTTCTCGCGTGACCGCAAGTCCATGTCAGTGTTGTGTACCAAGTCTGGTGCCTCTTCTCAGCGCGCTACTCGCTCGTCTACCTCGCACCAGAATGTTTTGCTTGTCAAGGGCGCTCCCGAGGGATTGATCGACCGCTGCACCCATGTTGAACTGGGTGACGGCACAGTTAAGCCCTTGACCGATGCTGGCCGCCAGGTGCTGCTGACTCAGGTGTCTAGTTTGGCCCGCAAGTCGCTGCGGTGCTTGGCTTTTGCCAAGAAGGAAGACGTTGGAGACCTGGGATCGTACGACGGAGACCGTCACCACCCGGCCCACAAGCAGTTGGAGCGTACTGAGAACTTTGCAGCCATCGAGTCGAGCTTGACCTTCATTGGTCTGGCCAGCATGCTGGACCCGCCGCGGCCCGAGGTTCGCCCGATGATTGAGACGTGCCACACGGCCGGTATTCGCGTCATCTGCATCACAGGCGACAACAAGCTGACGGCCGAGAGCATTTGCCACAAGATCGGCATCTTCAAAGAAGGCGACGACCTTTCCACGCGCTCGTTCACTGGCGCCGAGTTCTTCGCGCTGCCCATTGAGAAGCGTAACCAGTATCTGTCGGATGGCCACGGCATGGTCTTCTCTCGCACGGAGCCGAAGCACAAGCAGCAGCTCGTGAAGATGTTAAAACAGCTCGGCGAAGTGGTGGCCATGACTGGCGACGGCGTCAACGACGCTCCTGCTCTGAAGCAGGCGGATATCGGTATTGCAATGGGCATTACCGGTACGGAAGTGGCCAAGGAAGCCGCCGATATGGTGCTTGCGGACGACAACTTTGCGACGATCGTGGCTGCTGTGGAAGAAGGCCGCGCCATCTACAACAACATGCAGGCCTTCATCCGCTACCTGATCTCGTCCAACATTGGCGAGGTGGCCGCCATCTTCTTGACGGCCGCCTTGGGTCTGCCCGAGGGTTTGATCCCTGTGCAGCTGCTCTGGGTGAACCTCGTGACGGATGGCCCGCCTGCCACGGCTCTGGGCTTCAACACGCCGGATGCTGACATCATGAAGAAGCCTCCTCGTCGCAGTGACGACGCGCTCATCACCGGCTGGGTCTTCTTCCGGTACATGGTGGTGGGCATCTACGTCGGCTTTGCGTGCGTCGGTGTGTTCGCGTACTGGTACATGTACTACGAGGCCTCGGGCGATGGCCACACGCTGATCACGTGGGACCAGCTGACGCACTGGACTAAGTGCCACGAATGGGAGAACTTCACAGTCAACAATTTCGACGGCATGGACTTCTCGTCGGACCCTTGCCGCTACTTCACTGACGGCAAGAAGACGGCGTCGACGCTCTCGCTGTCTGTGCTGGTGGCCATTGAGATGTTCAATGCGTTGAACGCGCTCTCGGAAGATGGCAGTCTGATTACCATGCCGCCCTGGTCGAACCCGTACCTGATGATCGCTATGGTGGTGTCGTTCGCTATGCACTTTGTGATCCTGTACGTGGACGTGCTGGCCGACACGTTCAGTGTGATCCCGCTGGACTTTAAGGAGTGGCTCGTGGTGCTGGCGTTCTCTTTGCCGGTGATTATCATCGACGAGGTGCTCAAGTTCGTCGGTCGTCGCATGCACGCGCGTGAGCTTAAGGAACGTATGGAGGAGTGGGAGAAAAAGACTCAGTAGACGGACGTAGGAAGGTGCTGCCTTGCTTTCTGCTCCCGAGTATCGAGAGGAGGCGGCCTCTCTGCCAATTGATCCTGGAGCAAATGTTTCTTGGCGATGAGCTTCAGATCTTGGAGCGGAAGCGAGACAGCAGTATTAGAAAACAGAAATAAACACGACCACATGCGCCTTGTTTCTTTGAGTTGCGAGCGGCTAATGCTCGTTGTTGCGCAGGTCTACAGTAGAATGCGATGCGAGAGGTACATGTAACCACTTGCCAGTGAATCAACCGCTGTGTGGCAAGTTGCCACACAGCGGTTGATTTGCCGCCGGTTTACTCCGTTGCCAAGGAGGGGCAGCCGTTCGTGCAGCAGTTCAACCATCAACAAGGCAGGATCCCATTAGCGATGTGCTTCGCCTCGTCCAGGTTTGTCGCGGATAACGTAGCCGCAGAAAGGGAAACGTAAAGTTCACGTCTCCCTTTCTGGCTTCGACGCCAATCGTTGGAAGATTGGTGGCCACCACCAGCTTTGCCCAAGTCTTCCTTCGTCGCACCAATTTGGTGCCGTAACTGCGTGGTTTTGTTTGGTGGCAACAGAAATGCTTCACATGATTTCTCGAGGCATTTTTTTGCTTGAAGTTGCCAGCTTCTCCGTTCATATCAGAAACCTCAACTTTGTCAATGTAGTTTATTGAGACCTCCGACAGGCGCGCGCGCTCGGGCTGTCGATAGCTCATTTAAGACAAGAGCTTTCTCCCCAATCGGCGTCAGAAGCTCTCAGAACGGGGCGGCGGGACCGATGAACGAACTCCGTCGTAAAGTTACCAGATACTGGTAAGCCCGAGTGCCATTCTTGCCTCTGCGGCCGGAATTGCGGCAAATTACTACACACACCGCATTAACTAACGAATTTTTAAGTGGCATTTCTGGCGTCCAGTAAGTGCCGATTCTCTTCTCCACCTTCAGCATTAAAGCGGCAAAAGCTCGAGCTCGGAGGCTGGTTGCCATAGCCCAGCAGCGCCTGGGTAGCGTTTTGTTCGTGGTCGACGCCAAAAAGCATTGAACAGACTTTGTCGTCGCGTTGCTCTCCTGGAGTGTTCCCACACTCGCACGCCAGCAACATCGCTTTCATCAGATTAGTTACCACGTGATGTGGACCACATCATCAATGCCTCTCAGTTTCTCATATACAATACATTATGGCAGGTATTAGATAAATCAGGTCAGCTTTACACCTTTCAATGTCTTCTTAGAGATGAACAATGCCTCACTTTATTCGATACCGCAAGTATTATATATAATAAATCTCGGGGCTAGATGTCGTCCCAAGCCCTTTCTCCCAAGGTACAGCCCGCGGGTGAAATGGCTCAGTTGGAATTTTAGGAGCTTCTGCGTAGTGGTTCAAGACGCCAGAACCATGAAGTCCGTCGCGCGAGGTGATCTATGGCTGCTCCAGCTGGACGCCAAGGAGGACCCGGTGGCCGACCGCCACACCAGCTTCCATCCCAGCCACAGCCGCTTTACGCATGTGCCGACCAGCAAGTCATTCGAGGAGTTGAGTCGCCTGCGCAAGCTCACGTCTCTGAGCTACCTGAGCGGCAAACTACGTGGCATGTTCCACCGCGAACACCGAGACACGATCGTGTGCGAGGAGGACGAGGAGATCCCGGGAAGCAGCAAGCGCAATATTTATGACATCATCCGCCGCAATGAAGGCTCGTCGTCCACGCGCTTCGACCACTTGGCCAAGTTCAGCGACTGTATGCCGGCCATGCGACCCGTGGCGCTCTCACAGAGCGCGTCTATGCCTGAGAGCCACGAGCCCAGCAAGGAGCAGCGCTGGTGCACCAACTGCTCCAAGTGTTTCCAGCGTGGTCTCAGCCGCTTTGACCAATACTGCGGACTGGACTGCAAGACGGCACATCGGATGCGCCAGGTCGCGTGAAGCCACGCCCCTCACTACCTGGCCGCGCAGTCTCCTTCGACGATTTCGGAGGAGACGCTAGCAATACGCGCAGCGGCGACACGTCCGCCACAGCGTTTCACGGTCCATTCTGCCACCACAGATGGCAAGAGGATGGAGCGCAGGTAACTTCGGAGGGGGGTGACGAGATGATAAAGAGCTGGCCAGAATGGTCTGAGCTGCTGGCCACAGCGTCCTCGCACGGCACGAGGATGTGAGCACCCTACCACGCTCAGGCGTGTACGATAGAAAGAGGAAACCGAGTGGAGCTCTCTGCTCGGTAATAATGTTATTAACGCTATTTTAACTACACCATGCTGCCTTCTCTTTCATCATGGCCATGGCCATAATGTTCATTGCCACCTTGGAGATGCCTGTCAGCTGCTTGAAAGTCTCGACTTGAATCAATGGGAATCAAGATGTATCCCACTTTCCCTGATGTTCAGTACCCCTCCAGACAAAGTACGATTCTGTCGCAGATGTCCGAGAGGGGGAGTCAGATTGCCAGCTTTACGTAGCATCAAGCGACATACTCAGTGCGAACGCAGCAATGGTGGCCGCCAACAAGATCGTGGTGTGCGATAACGGCACGGGGGTACGTCGCTCTATCCTATTGCTGCAGGATTCTGCCGCGTGCATTCTTCTCTAATCTCCTCACTCTGTTGCAGTTCGTCAAGGCTGGTTTCGCCGCCGAGAACTTCCCCAAGGCCATTTTCCCGTCCCTCATTGGACGCCCCGTGCTGCGTGCCGAGGAGGCCGTGCAGACGGACATCCTGCTGAAAGTACGGTTGAAATCCCAGATATTTACTACCCAAGTTGAAGCTAACGAGACCTTCTGTACTGCAGGATATTATGTTCGGCGATGAAGCCGCAGCCGTGCGGTCGAACCTCGAGATCACGTACCCCGTGGAGAACGGCATTGTTAAGAACTGGGACGACATGGAGAAGTTGTGGGACTACACGTTCAAAGAGCGTCTGGCTATTGATCCCAAGGGCCACCGCATCCTGCTAACAGAGCCGCCGCTCAACCCCAAGCGCAACCGCGAGAAACTGGTGGAAACCATGTTCGAGAAGTACGGCTTCGAAGGCTGCAACATCACCACACAGGCCATGCTGACTCTGTACGCTCAAGGTATCACCACGGGCGTGGTCATTGACACTGGTGACGGTGTCACACACGTCGTGCCGGTCTTCCAGGGCTACGTGCCGCAGCACCTCATCTGCCGTCTGGACGTCGCTGGTCGCCACATTACCAACTATCTCATCAAGCTCATGCTGCTACGTGGTTACCCGCTCAACCGCACGGCTGACTTCGAGACAGCGCGCCAGATTAAGGAGAAATGGTGCTACGTGGCTTACGACACGGCTGCTGAGCGTAAATTGGCCTTGGAAACGACGATCCTCGAGGAGTCGTACGAGCTTCCTGACGGTCGTGTGGTGCGTCTGGGTCGCGAGCGCTTTGAGGCTCCCGAGGCTCTGTTTAACCCGAACTTGATCGACGTGGAGGGCGCTGGTCTGAGTGACATGGTCTTTGACATGTGCATGAAGGCAGACATCGATCTACGCACGGAGTTCTTCAAGAACGTCGTGCTGTCTGGTGGTTCCAGCATGTACCCGGGTCTGCCCAGTCGTCTGGAGAAGGATATTAAGCAAAGATACCTCACGGATGTGCTCAAGGGCGACAAGAGTCGACTGAGCAAGTTCCGCTTGCGCATTAACGACCCACCTCGTCGCAAACATCTGGTCTTCCAGGGTGGCAGTGTCTTGGCTGATGTCATGAAGGACAACGACGCCTTCTGGCTGCTCAAGAGTGAGTACGAGGAACACGGGCTGCGTATTCTCGACAAGCTGCAGTGAATTCCGTAAAAACAAACAAACGTAGCTCTTACCTGCATGGTCGAGTGTCGGCACACCATGCTGGATACAACGATGCAGCTCGATAAAGTCAATTTTTCCACCTAAAAAACAGCAACCCAGACATTTCCTCCCTCTAACCATTCGTTTTGCTGCTAGAATCGCTCAAAAACGGCCTGAATAGACCCGAAGCGCTTGGCAGGAGGCTTTCTTCGACTCACTGGACGGAGTTGAGGTCTTTCAAGAGAACTAATTCGCGCGCAGTGTCCAGACGTTCACTCCAAGTGTTCTTTAGATCTTCAACGCCATCTTCGTTGCTGGTTATGGCGTCCGCCGTATCCACGAGTGTCTGAATGATCGAGATCGCCTTGTCCGGCACAGAATCTTTGAATGCCTTCACCACCATTCCACCGTACGATACTGTGTCACGTGGAAAGCTGCCTGGAAGACTCGTCGTCTGCTGGAAGAAAAGCTGCAGAATCAACGTTGCGACCAAAGCACAGTGTTGGTAGCTCTCGGTTGCCAAGGTAGCATTCTCCTCCAATTCTGCAAGTGTGGCCTGTCGGTAGCTGAAGATAACTTGGCGCTCCTTTTTGCGGTCCAGCTTCCTGAGTGGCATACTGAGAGCCTCAGCCAACACTGGAACGTGGGCCGTGAAATCGCTTAGTGACCAACGACCAGCCGTAGCAAGCGTCCATAACCGCACGAGGGCACTTGCAGTGGACTGTGGAAGGGCCGACTCGAGCACCTTCTTGTTCTCATCGCTCAGCGACGTCACAGACGCAGCAGTTCTTTTGTCCTTCTCTTCGTCAGTATTGACAGACGACAAGTGAGGCACCCCCTCGAGGTCTAGACTGTTGCTCTCAGCCATGAAGCTAGTCACCAGAGCGGCGAGTTCCACAGCAGACGAATCAAGCACGTGCTTCTCCACAAAAGCAAGCTGCTCCATGTCAGCAGGATCTTTGGCATCAACTTGCATCGACAGTTTATTGAAACCTTTCTCCAACACGAGCAACTTGGTGAGCTGCTCATCGAACCGGTCTTCAAACACCTTACGCAGTTCGCGCAGTGACGCCGCATCGCCGCGAATAATACTAGACAGAGCCTTGGCCAATGCGGCTGAATACAGCTCGTTTATCTTCGGTTCCAAATGCAAAACCATTCCATCCATAAACTCATCATCACCCTCGATATCCTCAACAGCAGGAAACCATTTCACAAGAAGCGCAGTCGTTTCTTCTCGCGAAGGTACGATAAGAAACTGGGTAGAAACTGATCTGCTCTTGTCGTCACCAGCGTCTCCGCCATGCTTTGGTCCTCGCTTCCCCTTCTTTCCCTTTCCAGACTTCCCACTGCGCCCTCCCGACTCTTCCGGATCGCGCTTGTTGCCGCCCTTACTGCGTTTTCCCTTCTTACCGCGCTTGCTGCTGGCATCCTCGTCATCCGAATCATCTCCTTCCTCCACCTCTTGTCTACTCTCACGAGCACTAGTTTGAACCGCGCAGGTCTTTTGCTGTGCCGCCGCACGGGAAGCTTTAGTCGTGGCGTCTTCACCAAATTTCTCCCAGCAAGAAGCAAAGAACCCGGAGCTGACAGCATAATTGTCAGCGATCTGGAATGCCTTGGACACATGCCCCGCCTTCTCCAATGCTGGCGACATACCCAGCAATAATCCCACATCTCCCGCTGGCAGTGCACTCGGCAGCAGCGAACGCACATCCACGAACGAATTATCATTAACCGCAGCCTCGACTGCTCCTTCCAGCTGAAGCTGCAGCGCCCGACTCACGACACTTTCTTGCAGCGGCACAGCATCAGGGAAACGTTTCTTCAGAAAGTCGTAGGGTCTGGCAACTTGAAGTTCTTTCGCTCGAGCATGCTCCAGGTATCCATTCTGCTGGAAGAACGAGTACACACTCTCTCTCTGTGCTGCCATGAACACGTACGGCACGTACTCGCGGCCTCTCAGTGTGCCCATCAGCACTTTCGACTGTATCAGCTCCGTCAGAGCCTCGTTGGCCACAGCTTCATCGAAGCTGAAGCTCCTGAGCACATCAGGCACGAATACAGGCCGCGTGACAGCTGCGAACACTCCTCGAAGGCGCGCCTTCTGCGCTGTCACGTACGAGTCGGTGTAGAGCACGTTGTCCCTCTCTCTAGCCTTCAGAATGCTGCCCAGTCTCGTGCGCACCACATCGCGCATGTAGTCCACAGCGAAATCGAACTGCTGAGCCAGATCGCCTATAGACGTGGTACCGCTCTCCTGAAGCAGCACGTCCGTGTCCTCCATGATACCGTCGAGATACCAGCTCGTGAGCAGCTCCTCGCCGTTGTTTACCAGGTGGTACGAGTCCTTGCTTCTGCTGCCTCGACACAGCGCAGTTGCTTGCTTCTCCACGCGAGTTCGGTCCACATCAATGAGCTTTTCCAGTTCCGTGAGGCTCAACCGCCCGCCATGCAACGCCACGTAGTCGGCGATCTCCCGCTGAATCTGAAGAGGCGTCAGAAATTGCTTGCCTGTGCGCGTGTGGATGACCTGAAGCTTTCCCAGTTGTTGCAGCTTGAGCAGCAGGTCGATGACGTTGTGGTCTGACAACTTGAGCGCCGCCTCCTGCTGCTGTACGGCCGCGAGCTGCTGTTGCAGCAGCGCGATCTCGTCCATGGTCGCCGGGCGGAGAACAGCAGAGTGAAGGTCAGTTTTTCGAGCCACTGTCACTTTCGTGAGGGGAAACAAATGTTACTCAAATGAAACCTTGCATTTCGAAATGGAGGTGCGCTTAGAAATCGCCGAGGAAGCGCTCAAGGTGTTCGTCGCGGCGCTGCAGTGCTTGGCTCAAGTCGGAAAGGAGCTATCCATCGAGTGTGATCCCTGTGCGCGTCGTCTCACGCTCCGTGCTCTCAATGATGCGCACTCGGCCTCTGGCCAGGTGATGCTGGACCGAACATTTTTCTCGGAGTCTCAGAACTGCTGCGTCACCCTTCAAGGCGTCGATATCACATCAACACAGACGATTAAGACGCGATTTAATGGTCGTACACCCTTCATTAAGTGTAAGGTGTTCGCCAAGTCGTGCTGTAATGTTTTCCGCACGCTCAAGCACGTGCAGAGTGTCCAGTTAACACTGCTAGTGGACCAAGAAGCGCTGGAGCAAGCAGACGCCAGCCAGGAGGACGTATCACAGAGTAGCGAAGTGGACGAGGTGGATCTGGACTGTATGGAGCTACGCTGGCGGTTGCGCTGCGACTTTGACATCACCAAGACGCACCACATGAAGGTGCAGGCGTGCCAGATCATGCGCGCTGTGTTCGACAAGGACGCGTGCCCCAATCGCTGGAGGACACGACAGCACCACTTGAGCTCGCTGCTGGCTCATATCCATCACAGCAGTGAGGTGAGCGTCACGTGTTCAGCGACACACGTCAAGTTCGAGAGCTACTTCTCCAGCACGACAGATAGTAAGGCCCAGTTGCAGACGGAGACAGCAGTGGAGAGCGCCGAGTTCAACGAGTACATTTTACAGCCAGCAGCCGATAGCATCGACTCGTCAGCACAGTTAATTTTCTGTATTAAGGAAATCCGGGTGAGTTCGATACGGGGAATGGAGAATGGATGTAGCAGACTGACGATAGTGTTGACGCAGGCGCTGCTGGCATTCTGCAAGACAAGCGACCTGCTGGAAGTGTCGTTCTACTTCAGTACAGGCGGCAGGTGCGTTGAGTTTGCGACTTTGCTGTTGTATATCTGCTGTCTGATTGTGAATTGCTCAGTCCCGTGCTGTTTGCGGCCGAGTCGACGTCTATGGCCAAGTTCTCCATCGAGATGACGCTGTCAACAGTGACGACGTTCCTGCCGGCGTCATCACAAGCGCGTAGCGAGGAGGAAGTCCCGCTTTTCGCCAATGGGTACGTTTTTACTTACTGGGAGACTGGCAGACTTCAGTGCTAACATGGTTTTGCCTGGGGTTCCGTAGTGGCAGTGTCAATTTCCCGAATAGTCAGACGCCATCGATGTCGCAGTCTTCCTCACAGGAGAATCCTCGGTATCTGACCCACAGTAAACGTCTGTGTGTAGATTAGTAGCAGCTATACGTGCCGACACATTGCAACCCATGCATTGTAAAGCCAGTCGAAATACGCAAATGAAGAAGTTAATTTACCCAAGAGACGACAGACTGTCTGTCGTCCACGCGCCCTATCTCACCGTCCTACTGCGCGAGATCCTGCACGAACCAACTCTCACCTCCCAGCTCCGTCTTGCCCTCGGCAACACTCTCGAACGTCGGCGACTTGTCGACGATCTCCCACTCGTCGCCCTTGGGGCTGCTGCCGGCCTTGTCGTCGTCGCTTTTCTTCTTCTGTTTCATGCGACGTTGCGCCACCACCGTCTTCCGCTTGGGCGAAGGACGGCGGTAGGGCACGAACATGGTATCGGCTACGTCCTCGTCCTCGTCCTCATCGTCACTGACGCCGTCGCTCTCGCTGTCTGAGAACTCGTCGCTGCGTGCCAATTCGCGTAGCTTCTCGAGGTCAAAGTGCCGCTGACGCAGAGGCGAGGCCAAAGTGCGGAAGGCGGGTGATAAACGACGGTTCATGCCGCTGTCTATGCCTCCAAAGGCGTTCTCTGAGCCGTGCATCGATACTGCGGCCATGGTCTCTAAGATCTCGGTAAGTCTCTGCTGTTGCTGCTTGAGCTGCTCGAGGAAAGTTGCCGAATGGACAGGTGGAGGATGCTGCGAGAGGACGTGACGCCTGCGACGTGTGCGACTCTAGAAGATTCACTCGACCTGAGTAAGCCCCCATCGCCAGTGCACCCCTATCGTCTGGATGGGATTGCCTTGCTGAGGTTCGGTACAAGTGCATTTACATGATTAACGTGGGCGATCAAGGCCGCTACATTGGCTGAGATCAGGCCAGGTGGAGGCGGTCAATTGGCAGCACGCTATGCAAGATGTCGAATCGTCCATCACTTGAGACTTTCCTACATGTTAGTCGTCTGTTTGCACACATGTGCACTTCAAGTGCCACTTGGCCGTCGCATTCGTAGCAACGAGAATTTGCAGCGAAGAGGTGAAGACATGCGGAGAAGTGAAAGGGTAAACAGTAGGGGAAATGTTATAGGCTGGGGCGGACTAAAGTTCAACAGACCAACAATGTTCCAGGGTGAACGACACTTGGCCTCATTTAATCGAAGTAAAGATTGAATGCCACGCTTCATCCAAAGCAGAATAATGGTTGGTCTCCGCTCGATTAACGGTCACTATTAGTCGCGCCGCGAATCCTTGCGACTGAATGCTGGCTTAATGTAGCCATGTGAGTGTCTGGCATGGCTGCATTTCAGATGTGTTTGTTTAGCAAGTAATGCTCTGACATCGGGTGGCACCACTGTGCTATCGCGACTAGGCGTCCTGAGGGCAACAGTATCATTGGGCGTCGTCCACCGTGGAAAAATGAGGACGTTGAAGTGGATCTTAACGAGGAACATGCAGCGAAATCTATCATGGCTCAATGGTAGGTAACCTGGAAGAGCAAACACTCTTCGTTCTGATCTGTCCGCTTGTCGTTGATGAACAAGTAGATGTCCTGGGACGCTGATTCCGAGAGATTACGGGCAGCAAAGGCAAGTCTCAAGAAGGCTTGGCCATTACTAGGCAGCTGTAGCACAGGCTCGCGCGGCACTAGCAGCTTGGGTGCACTGGAGCGCAGCATGATGGTCTGTGGCTGATCCCAGGGATTCGAGTACGAGATTTTCTTCTGTGCAGCTCGACCCACTGGCAGTCGCAGGTCGTACGTCTTAGTAATGACAGGCAACGCAAGCGTCACGTGAACACTCCAAGCCCCTACGAGCTCGTGGGTCTCCACGTCCACGAGGTTCACTAGCATTACCATCTGCGTGTCAGCTCCATTCTCGACCGCACAGAAGGCAAACTCGATGCGATTGAAGGCTTGCGGCATCAACGTAAACACTTGAGCTGGTCGGAACTGCACGAACTCGCGGTGCTGCATGGGCGTGAAGCACATGACGTGACGCTTATGACCAGATGGGCCTCCGTCCCCTTTGATGACGAGTTCATGGCGCACACTTTGGCCTAGAACTGCCTGCACGTCAACCCGAAGTTTGGACTGGATACGGATCTGCCACACTTCAAACACCCGCGCGTAGTACACGTCGTCGTACAAGACAACAAAGAAGGTTTCGAGTGCTGGGTAGTCCCCTACTCGACACTTGAAGCTCACAAGACCACTGTTGCTGGCTTGGTCGTCACCACTGCGTAGTAATTCCATCGCTACACTGGGATCCATGCACACGACGAACTTGCCTTTCGGGTATCTCAGTTTCCAGCGCCAGATCGACGACGCTGGATGGGAAAAGCGCAACACGCGGTGACAGACAAACGGCTGTGGGCGCAGCTCCATGTTGAACAGAGCTACAGTGTGTCCGTGTGAGCAGCTTTTGACCACGACGGACACTGGGATCTTCGACTTCTTCCCCTCCATGCCGGTGTCAAGCCAACGTAGACGCATGGGGAGATGGAGCTGGTCGTGGGACTCCATGACGACTTCGTTGTGGTCGTCGATCATTTCGTCTTCGATGTGAGCGTTTGAAGTGATGAAGCCGTAAGAAAGCGGCAGGTTTTCTCGATAGAACGCCCACTCCTCACTATTACGCACGATCTCTAGATCCAAGACCACTGCGATCTCTCTGGAGGAAGGAAGCAGAAGCTCAAGTCGGAAGCGATCGTTGTGGTTGTACGGATTGGTGAACGGCAGCTCGAAGAACAAGAGATCGCCGAAGGACGGGAACAAAGTGAGCGACGTGGTCACTTGTTGGCGCAGCAGAGAATACACGAGCGACTTCTTGTGACCGTCACGGTAGTACGACAAGACACGCAGCAACTGGTTCTTCTCGTCCTCGAAGCGGCGGAGACTTTCTTCTGCTTGCTGGTTGCCGTGTTGCTGGCGTTTCTTGGTCTTTGCAACAGCACGAACTAGTTGCTTGTGGGCTTTGGCCTCGTCACTTTTAACGTGTTGTCTGTAGCGTGACAGACGTTCCAGTTGTCGAGCATACAAGTGATCGTTCATCCTCGTTATAGGCGTGGGCATTCCTCCTTCGCTGAGGCTTTCGTGCTCTTCGTCTCGATCCGACAGTAACGTGAAGCCAAGCTCCATTAAAACCTGAAGAAACTCCACTCGCAGCAGTTCGCTCTTCCTTTTGCGCCTGTGTTCCCGACCAGGTACTTGACCACGACGATCGTCGGCATCTTCCAGGAATTTGGAGACTACACGCAGCGGTAAGATACCACGCTGATACGCTTCAAGAGCAGTTTGACGCAACTTCAGCTCGACCGCGCGAATCTCGGGGTTGCTGTTAAATGCGTAGTTACAGTCGAGACTTGCTGCTACTGTTGTCCGATGTTGCTGGACTCCTGGAGTAACTTCCACTGGAGTTATCTCGACATTTTCATTAGCGTCTTTCGGAGCTTGATTTGCAGTACTAACCGCTGGTTCTTTGGCGCTTTTGACCTTCTCCATTGACTTGGTCTTCTCTGGTTTGTCTTGGACGATAGTTGAAGGCGAGTCTTCTGCTGCTCGAGCACTTTGAGCGCCGGACGCTGGTCTCGGGGGCTTCTTTGCTGGTACCCGAGCTGAATCAGTGCGACGAAGCGGATGCGGATGTGAGCTCGTAGGAAGTGGGGTCTCCTGCGTGTCAGTGGGCTTTACTGCTTGCTCTGCACCTGTAGGAGCGTCTCCTTCCAGTGTTGGTGTCTGTAAAAAAGAAGCAAAGTCTTCGACACGAAGTCCATTCTGTTGCTTACAGTCCAGCGACTTGGCCATTGCGACGACGTCCTCAACCGAAAGATTGGCGAAGTCGGTGCCCAGTTCCCGTAGTCCTGTCACGAATTCATCGTATGCAACAAACTCGTTGGCTTCCTTGTCGAAATGATTGAAGGACTGCTGGATGGAGACGCCCTTTGCGGACGCAGTTTGAAGCAGCTTTTTCAGTTGCGCCAGCCCGTCCGAAGCCTCCTTGCTCAGCGAACTCTTGACTGCAGAGTCATCTTCCAGCTTGCTTGTCGATGCACCCATTTCAGCCTTCGTGGCTGCTCTAACTGCAGCGAAAGGTCCTTGCCGGCGAGCCTCAGCCCCCTTCACACCAGCTACAGCCTTCGACTCTGTGTTTGTCCGCCGGAATGGGGCTCCAGAGCTCGGAGCTTTACCTTCGCCGAATGAAGACGAGCGGTTCACTGGATACTCCGATGGTTTAGCTGTCGGTTGCTGGGGCTCCGAGCTCTTTATCGTAGGATCCTGCTGGCCCTTGACACTTTCTTCACTGGTGATAGACGATGGATCGGATGGTTCTTTCGTGGTATCTCGTGGTCTTTCAGTCCCCTCTGGTGTAATTACCTGTGGGTCCATGACATTGCTGAGAGGTTCCATTGCTACAGGTACCGATTCATCTCCCCCTCCTTCCGTTTGAAAGACATCATCAATCGTGTCTTTAGCTTGTTCGCTGTCATCCACTGAAGTGGCTTCAGCAGATTTACCAGCCTCGACGGTATCATCAGCTAGCGCGTCGCTCTCTGGAGTCCGTGGAACTGGTTCCGTGGTATCGACGTCAACCTCCCGACTGCTGGACGAGGGCGCTGGGTTCCTCAAAAACGCTTCAAATTCCTCTAGCGACACACTTCCGCTTTCATCCTCGTCGAGTTTCTTGACAATCTCCAACGTTTCTTCATCCGGAACGTTCTCAAACCCGGGGAGCTGCTTCATAGCGTTGACGAACTCCTCTTTCGTAATGACTCCGCTGTTGTCACTGTCGAAATGCGCAAAGCACTTCTTGACGTCAACTCCACTCGCCTCAGCACTCAGCAGCAGCTTTTGCAGCTTTATCCCCGTCGTCTGGTCCGCAGTCGACGAAGATTTCCTGTCACCAGCAGCTTCAGACTCCGCAGACGCTTGTTCAGGCTGTTTCGCATCGACCTTCTCCTCTGAAGACGTCGCACTGGACGGGAAGAGCTGCTTGAACTCCGAGAGCGAAATAGTTCCGCTTTCATTGCGATCGAGGAGCTTGAGAACGCCACAAATCACAGACTTATCCGCTGCAAAGCCCAGCTCCGTCATAGCAGTCACAAACTCCTCCGTCTTGATATTCCCGTCCCCATCCTTGTCGAAATGAGCGAAGCACGCGTCGATAGAGACCCCCTTTGCAACGGCCTGTTCCATCAACGCTTTGAGTTTGGTCATCAGCTCTTCCTGGTCCTCCACGTCTCCCACTCCACCCTCTTGATCCTCCATTAACTCTCGGAACTCGCTGAAATCGACCTTGCCACTGCCATCCTCGTCCAGTTGCTCCAACAGCAAGTCAAAGTCAGCCTCCTCCATGTCTTTAAAGCACCCAAGAGCCACTAAACCACGCTTCAGCTCAGCACGAGTAATTTCACCGTCCCCGTTAGCGTCGAAATGAGCAAAACTCTTTTTCAAGTCAACCCCTTGCTCTTTCGCTTTCTCTAACAGCCTCCGAAGTCGCTCCTTGGCAGCTTCTTTTTCTGAAGTCTTGGCTGATGACGTGGCAGATTGGATCGTTCTGCACAGAGCGCACAGCTCCTGGGTATCCACTTGATTATCCTCATCCACAAATCCAAAGTACGACAGCAAGGGCACCACCTCCGTGCTAAGTATTCGAGGAGATAACCCGAGTTTCACCCGACAAAACGACGTCCACTTGTGTGCTGCCAACTTGGAGGGATCAAGTGCAGCCAGTTTATCCAAGTGAGGAAGGAAAATATCGGACAGAGACTGTTGCTTCGCTCGGAGTTCGGCTCCAAAGTCTTGGAATTCACGTCGAGAGATCACTCCATCTCGATTCGTATCAAACCGAGCAGCAATTAGCGCAGCGTCTTCTGCAGTCATCCCTTGACCAAGGAAGAGTTTCTCCATCGTTCTCTGGTACTCCGTAAGGGAGACAGTACCATCCGAATTCGAGTCAAACTGGTCGAACACCTCCTGGATTGTCATTCCACTAGCACAAGCACGAACGATCAGCTTGATGAGCTTCCGGTTGGCTCTCTCTCTTGCTGCTTGCTGGAAACTCGCGGCTTCTTGTCGCATCTCCTCGCTAGACACGCCACACGCCGTCAGGAATTCTCGGTAATCGATCTTCGTATCGCCGTCTGCATTGATCGATTTCACATAAATCTCCACGGCATCTCGCTCGAATCTCTTCAGAGTGTCGCCATCAGCTTCGTCAAGCTGCAGTAACCGGTTAAGAGCGTCCGTAAACTCCTCCACAGACAAAGTACCGTTCCTGTCAGTATCGAAGTGCACAAACACCTCCTCAAAGCCGATCCCTTTCTTCGTCAGACGCCCTAGAATCTTGCGAACGTCTTCAGTAATGTCCGTGACGGTCTCTTTAACCACCTCTGTCTTGTTGTCTTCGATCGAGACTCCTAGCGACTCCAAGAACTCTGAATAAGAGATCGTACCGTCCTGATCTTTATCCAGTTCCTGCAACAACTCTCGCACACCTGCTTTGTCATTATCCGTACATATTCCCAGTTGCTCAAGACCACGTTCGAACTCGTCATACGACAGTTTGCCGTCTCCCGAGGTGTCAATCTCAGCGAATACGTGGTGGACGCGGATCCCTTTGTCCATCGCTCGCACAATAATGCGCTTAATATGGTCGCGCCATTCGGTTCTCGACATTCGAGTTGGCTCCCTGACAAAGTTTCTAAACTCTCGATACGCGATCTGGCCGTCCTTGTTCGTGTCCAGTAAATCTGCAAGAAGACCCAAATCTTCGTCTGAGAGATCGTCAAACACTGTTCCCAGTGATCGCAAGGCCTTGATAAACTCATCTCGAGACAACACGCCGTCTTTATTGACGTCGAAGAGTGCGAACGCATCCGCCAGTGCGAGGTGGTTCTTCGTCGCAATCGCCATCACTCGTTTCAAGCGTTGAGCATGGTCCGAAGCAGACGTATGGGGCTGTTGTTTCTGCTCTTCAGGCTTAGACTGGACACTTTCCCGAGCAGCTACCGGCTGCTTTTCTACTGCTTTAGACCCCGGAACTGCCGTATAGGCCACAGTTTCTGGCGGTCGTAGCGACAGTAGAGCTAGCAGCCCGGTTTTACTCTCCACGTCGCACTGGATCCGAGTAGGACGGACTCCAGTTGACTGCACCCCCTCACTGCCTTTAGACTTACGCGACCCGAACAACTCGCACAGAATAGCAATCTCCTTTGGTGTGAGCGTGTTAGTGTCGCTGAAATTCTGTCGTTGACGAGTTTGAGGCTCCTTCCGCTCCCGAAGATCTTTAGCGATGCGTTCCCCATAGAAACCTTCCTGAGACAGAAGACGATAGAGCTCAGCGTTGGATTCAACCAGCGGACGAGCACGAACGCGGTGCTTGGGTTTTCGAGGCTGAGCTTCAGTCGGAGACGGCTGCCCTGCTGCACTCGTCTGGTTCAACGCGTGTTGATCGATGTAGTGCTCTCCCTTCAACCCATAGCTACTCATTAGCAGTTGAATCCTCCCAATGTTCTCTCCCTCCACTGTACGCTTCGTGTCAGGAACGGAGCAGACTGCACCTTCGTCACCTCCACAATGATCCGATGCCATTGTACCGCCAAGCGGAGGAGAAATCGCCACTTCCGCTTGGAATTTCTTGACGTTTTTCCCTTGCCGCAGCAGTTCGTGGAGTGGAATCGCGAACGTCCCGAGCTGGAAAAGACTGTCTGCATCCCATACATCCACGTACAGGTTGTTCCACTTTAAGTATTCGGCAAAGCGGCGAGTCTCCAGCGGATTCCCTGTCGCGGTAGTGTCCACGTCGAGCTGGATCGCTTGTGCCGGTTTATTAGCTGAGGTGTCTCGCATCAATAGGAACGTTTGGATCTCTCCGCCTGCTCCATTGTCGAAAGCTTTACTCAGTCGTAGAGACTCGGTTCGTGTAGGTGGGAAATTGTAGAACTGGAAGGTGAAATACACTCGAGACGGAGCGGGGCTACACGTCATTCCTTCCGTCAGGTGGGCGCCAGGACTGCACGCTCGATACGCTGCGAAATGGAATCGGATCTCGTTCGCCTTGAACGGGTCGTTCACCTCTGTCTCGACAGACTTGGCGATGAGTTCGATCTTCTTTGCTTTCTTGCGTTTATCGTGAGTTGTCTGGTTCGTTGGAGACATTGGCGGTTTATCGTGAGGTTCCATGTATCCGTACCGAGTCAAAAGAGTCTTTGACGCGCGACTGAGTTCGGACGTAGGGGCCTCAGGGACTACAGTCGTTGGCTCAGCAGGACGTTCTTTCGGTTTCTTCTTCTTGGGTGACGGAGTCTTTGGACGTTGATCATCTGGTTTCTCCTGGTTAGATGTAGCTAACGCGTTGAGTGTCTGAGCCAGCAGTGGGTTGTCGTTCGCCTTACCCAGCAGCTTTCTAGCCCATTGGTCTGCAGCATACTCGTCGTCCTCGGTCTGGTTACTCTCTGGTTTGAGCGTCTCAGGTGACAGTAGAGATGTAGTCTCTTCGATCGGCTGACCGGTAGCAGGAACTTCCTCATCAATCGTGATCTTCAGGTCGCAGAAAGCGAACGAATCTTTGAGTGACACCTCGCGGTTCTGAAGTGACCTCGTCACTTGGTCTGGCGGGGTATACAACGTGTTATCCGAGTAAGGACGACAAGCAGCTCCAGACAGAAGATCGACGTGGAGAACGCGACGACGGTCCTCTTGTTCTTGCAGCAGCACGCCTCCCAGAGTGGCCAAGGGTTCGACAGTAGCAGCAGTCGCGTGATGATGCTTGTCGTACAGATAGAGCTTCTTTCCGTCACTAGGCACCAGTGCACGCGCTCCCATCGTCACTAAGACCACGTCTTCATCCGGTGGAAGAGGCTTCTTCGCCTCAAGCGCTTGCTGCTTCAGCTTGGCGGACCAGATGAGTCGGAAGTGCACCGTGTACTGCAGCACAACTACAATCGCCATGTTCGGGTGGAAGACAAAGCCTCGAAGCTTGGAGTGATTGCGAACACAGAAGAGTGTGTCTCCTCCGTTCGGGTCGGCTTTGAGCGGTATCATAAACTGTCGAGTCCGAAAGCACCGGCCATTGTGAAGCGCGATCTTCAGTACTCGCGCCGAGATCTCTCCTTCGACACTGGTAGCTCCTTCGTGGATGGCCGTACGACTGATCCTCAACCGAGAGACGAGATTGGCCTCGATCTCGTCGCGTAAGTTGATAGCCACGCGAGTAGCGACCACATGCAGCTCGAACGGTTCTTCGATCTGCACCGACTTTGGCACAAGCGACGCGATCTTCACGAACGACTCCAACGTTTCTTCATACGTCGTGTCGTTCTCCTCTTGCAGTAGCATCTTGGGGTTCTTCCCCATGTCGATGTTAGCCAAGTTGCCATCCTTCAAGCCTGGGATCGGATCCAAAGCACCCACGAGCTCGTTCTTCCGTAGAAACATGGCGATGGAAAGCATGGGTTCGTACTGCACGATCTGGTAGTAAAACTTGCTGCCTTCGTGCTTCTCCTGAGCGCTCCAAGCATCCGGATGGAGCTCCCATAACGCGCGAGGACTGCCAGTAAACACACTAACGGAGTCTCCGCTTGAGTTCATCGAGAAGGCGGACGGGACGGAGTTAGGCTCGTCCTTGGTACCAGACTGTACTGGTTGTTGACGAGCGAAGAGAGGCAGCAACGTCCAGCCGCAGCCCACCACTCGGACTGTGGCCTTGGAGTCTGGATCTTTCTCGTAAGCGACGAGTTCCAATACTCCAACGCAGTCGGCGTCAATGATGTCGGAGAGGAAGTATGCGCGGAAGTTCAACGGCGCGTTCTCGATCACATAGCGCAGAGTGCCGTCCTTTGGGTGTTTGGCCTGTTTGATCTGGAACGGATCGACTGCCAGCTCCGGACTCACCCACGTGTTGCCGAAGAAGCGCTTGGACACAGCGTGGAACAAACTCACGTGCACACCCAAAGTGATAAGAGGCTCTTCCTCTTCTTCTTCGTCGTCTTCGCTCTCGTTGTTGCCACTGGCTGCTGGGATCGCAGACGTGTGTAGAATGGAGTCTGGGAGTACCCAATTCAGCACCGACATGACGTGAAGAGAGTACCCTTTTGCCTTCTCAATGCGAGAGACTCCGTCAGGGACAGGCATGCACAGCAGACTGGAGCGGAACTTCTCGAACTGTTTCTCTCGCGTCGTCCATAGCGACGTCGACGCTGGCTCGGCAGTCGGTAACAGAGTATTTGTGCTCAGCACCTGTGACTGAGATCTCCGCCATCGACGGCGAGACACGCGCGTCGCTCGAGCACTTTGAACAGTGTTGAGCTCCGAGTCTGTCGAGTATACGTCAGCCTCCGACGCAGCGTCAGACCCGAAGGATTCTTCGTCAAACCCGGACGAACTGGGCGAAGATACGTGCTCGGACGACGCTTTACTCGCCATTTGAGGTCTGTGAAGACATGAAGAGTCACAAACAAACAGGCAGGGGCGCACACGGGAATAAAAAGCAAAATGCAGCCACCTGTTCGCGCTTACTAAAAACTACCCAAGTACAGGTCCAACAGTACAGTCCGAGCATCGACAAGTTAGGTGTTGATGAGCTTCTCAGCCATGGACAGCTGCGCCTGCGTGAGTCCAGACAGGTACGACACCATGAGCAGGTCCTGCAGTCCCGTGTTGAACAGCTGGTCGAACTGTTCCTCGCGCAGCATTGGGATTGCTGCCAGGGCGTCGGCGATCTCGCGTCCGAGCTTGGCGTCTGCCGTCTGCTTGCCAGCAACGACGTCGCCCACGAACAAGCTGGCACCGTCGATGCACTTGTAGAGCTGCTCCATGGTCTCCTCCAGCGCCTCGAGCTCCTTAGGGAGCGCCACGGCCTTGTTCTCTCCGTCCTTAGGGGCCATAGCGTTGACTATTGTCACAGAAAACATCGTTAATATCGAGAAATAATCCCATAAATATCACGAAGACATACGTGCGATGGCCTCAGGCTCCGAGACCTTCTGCGTCACGGGGATCTGCTTGAACTGGTTGACAAGTGCCGTGTCCACGACCTCGAGCGGGGCGGAAACGTAAGCCGACACGTCCAGCTTGTCGTTTTGAAGACTTGTGTCCACCACCAGGTGCACGGGCAGCTCGCAAACGGAGTTGTAGAACTGGTGGATAAGCGCCGAGTGGTCGTCCAGGCGGTTCGGGCCCGCCGCGTACCATCCTACAACAACTTCACCCTCGTTCACGCGCTGGTGCAGCTCATACATGTGTGTGTGGAAGTCGCGGCCCACTGCCACCTCGTCGCCATTCTCCAGGTGCGGCACAGCGAACGAGTTTGTGACTTCAGCCACGCCGCCCTCCACGCGGCCCAACAGCGTGCCAATCACGCGCTCCTGGTTCTCAGCACGACGCAGAGAGCGGTCCAACACCTGCAACACCACCACAGGGTGCAGTTTCACTTCGGTAACGGGCTCCGTGCCCAGCAACAGCGCGCTCATGTCGTCCAAAAGGTGTTGATGCTTTAACTCCCTATTGTGATCACTTGGGTGGTGCGTCCGTATAATACCGGATAAAAGACAACTGTATACACAGCTACACTTTAATTTGTATACACCAAACAATTTTTGGACAGATTGTATTGGCCACACATGAGTGCACGCAAAGTGGAGACGGCGTTGCGACGCGTGCTGCGTGCGGTGAGGCCGCTGACTGGCAATGGAGCTAGCGGTAGTAATGTGCACACGACTGCTATGCAGACCGCTGCTTTTTCTGGCTTAAGTGTGGCCTCTACGAGCCAAGCGAGGCGTATGAACGTGGCGTTGGTTGGTGGAGCAGTGGCTTTAGCTGTAGCGCTGGATATCGAGGCTCAGAACGATCAGAAGAAGAGCCAGGAAGTTGAAGGCGGCTACATAGTAAATCCGATTCAGAATGTGACTGCTCTACTGCGTCTGTACGAGCAGATCGATCAGAATATGAGCGTGTTCGCTGCTCGCATGCTAGAGGACTTGGAGCGAAGCGTGGAGAAGGAGAAGAAGACAAACGGTGGCAAACTCATGCTGTCACCTGAGCAGCGTGCACTCAATATGAGTATTGTCTTCGAGTCCACGCTCGAGAAGGTGCAGGACGCCGTTTTCCGCAACAATTACGTGACCAAGGAACAGGTGCAGGAGGCCATGCAGCAGCTCGTCACGGGCACACTGCGCGGTGGAGGCCCCGACGGCAAGATCACAGTAGCTGAGGCGGAAACTATCGATGACTTTGTGCGAAAGCTCGGACGGTTGCGATGGAAAGTCACGGGCTCGCGCGAGCCGCTTATTCCTGGAGCCAAGTCGGCTTGGGTAGGTCAGAGTATTGCTTAGTTAGGTTGGGTTCTGCTCTCTGATGCTCTTGAGTGTGTATTTTACGGTAGATGGTGCCGGACGAGAAGCCCGACATTGAAGTCACGACGGTGATTCGCGTCATGGAGGAGCTGATCCCGTCACTGACAGCGGAGATGGAGAAGATTGCCACGTCTCTCCGGAAGCAGAAGCTGGCGGACGCAGAGTTCCGCAGTCAGCTCTCGCAGCAGTACATCAAGGCGTCTGGCAAGATGACTGAGGAGATCTGCAAGAAGTTCCAGCTGGACTTGCGCGCCTTCCAAGCTGCGCTCATGTACTACCACGACAACGACCAGTTCGAAAAGGCACTAGCGAAACTGGCTGAGCAACAGCAGAAGAGGTACATTTCTCTTGGAGGCCACTGTATTTGGTTGCGATTTACTATGCTACTCAGATATTTTTTCTAACTCAACTAACCTATTCAACCTATGTTTGGTGACCACTGTAGATTCAAGGAACTCGGTCTATAGAACTCAGTGCAACTCGTGGAGAAAACGCTCGGAGACCCATTTAGTAGACGCTTTTATCACTGTGAGCTTTCCCATGGCTCCTCCTCCCTGCCCATTTAGACGATGCGCCGCTCCTGTAGCAGTCGAAAATGGCGAGAAGCTGAGTATCCATCTCTCCGTTCTCGATTTTATTTCTCACTTGTCGTGGACCAACTTAGAAGCGGCGTGTCATGTTCTGCGCTTCTTGTTGCGCAGTGGAGATCCGGCGGTGCAGGACACTAGGACGCATCAGTCGACGCGGCTGGACTAGCGCCGAGCCGCAGCTGAGTCCTCCCTGTTGCGCCAGTGCTCGCTGTAGCCTGGGCAGTGGCTGCTTGTTGGCCATGAGGAAGTCCCAGAGCTTGCACACGCGACAGTCCACGGAGCTTTCGCCGTTGTTATTGTTGTTGTTGCTCTTCTTGGGGCACGGGTGCGTCACGTAGGTCTTCATCAACCGACGCGTAGAGTGGCAGAGCGAGCTGCCGCACGCATCACCGGCGTGGCACTGCTGCACGTGTTCGATCCCACGCTGAAAGGATGCAGCCTTCGCATCCCATTGCTTGCGCATGGCAAAAGCCGCTGCGGTGGCTCTGGCTGATGGTGCCTCGACGTCTCGCTGGTCATCTGGCGGGTTTTGTTCGCGCTGCTGTTGCTGTTTCGGGTCCAATGGGGGGCGGTCGTAAGAGCAGCGCGAAGGCGGACTGGGCATGGGGTGAACAGGCAGAAGGCGCGGGGCAAGAGGCTTTAGACTCAGTCACGCAGGACAGCACACAACGGAGCTGTCGTACGTGGAAGGAGGCGAATTGAGAATTGAGGTGAGCATCAGATTCGTTTTAGAGCGCCATTCAAAAACCGAGTTTCCGGCAGTTTTTTCGGCTCTGCAAATCTATGTCTCGCATTTGAACTTTGGTCCACCATATTGAACGTTTCGTGGTGTTGACCACACTAAATCTAGAATGCTTCGCGAATGCTACGTGCAACAGCCAGAAGAAGTTTTCTGAGAATACTTTGTGGGTACCTTTTAAATTACATAATCGGGGCTGAAAAAATTGGGTACAAAACGTTGCTTAAGAAATTCGGATCAAGTCAAGTCATAAGTTATGCGTGCTCCCGTTTGGATGCCACTTCCAATCGTGAACGCACCGCAAGAAACCTCATGCGCAAACGAATTCTGTGACGTGGTGGTGGGAGGGTTCTTCTACCGCCTAGAAGCGAAGCCGCGTCATCGGACGCTCTGCTTCCACTTGAGAATTCGGACGGCTTCAACAGAGTGCGTCAACGCTGTACATGTACAGTACCGGGTTAACTATAGAACATAAGGTTTCCTATGTATCGCATTGTGTATCACAAACTCCTTCATAGAAGTATGTGATAGCGGTTCCCCAAAAGAGTACTCGGTGGGGCCTACGATGTGTCGCCGATACGAACTACTGTCCATGTATCATGATGCATTACCGGTAGTCAGCGTGCGTGCTGCTCCAGCCGTATTAGAGAATTGCAGCAGTTATATATGTCAACGCATTCGAAGTTTGAATCAAACAGTGATATCGCCACAAACGTCCTCATTTATAGAGATCACCACCATCTTGCCACGAGTACGAAATCTCAATTCGCAGAGCGACGACATGTACAAGAGGAGGAAACTGAGGTCAAATGCGGAGACGTCCAAGCTGGACGTCTCCGCATTTGGATTCCAACGGTAGAAACTCTCTTGCTAGACATTTCTCCATTTGCACTCTAAAAGTGAACACTGAAACGCCAACAGCGGCCATGGTCATTTTCAAACGAAGCAATCATGAGCACGGCATATGAATTCCAAGTGACGCGAGTTGAAGTGGTCGAATATTCTTTTTCCTAGTTTTCATTCCAAGCTAGAGGCTCGCAAGTGAACATCACTCCGGTTTCCGCATCCATGATCATGGACGCCGCGCTGTGGGAGCATCAGCGGGAGATTGCAGCCGTAGCACGTCACCGCAGCGTGTTGGTGAGCAGCTCTCAGCCCGTGGGCAAGACTTTCGTGAGCTGCGCATTGCTGTCCGAGGCTGCGTCCTCAAGTAATACGCAAGTTAACGCACTGGCAATTGCCGCATCGCCTGCGGGTCGGTCCGCTCTACAAGCACAGCTAGCGAGACTATGTGGTTGTCGCGTGGTCTGCAGCGATAGCTATAAAGCAAACCAATGGCTGGAGGACCCAGAATTCGCTCGTAGCACACTGAACACTGTACGCGGCCAGATCGCGATCCTGTCGCCGCTTATACTGCAGGAAATGCTGCGTAAAAAGATTTTGGATTTGACAGATGTTGGTCTGCTGGTTGCGGAAGACTGGGACCTAGTGCACGCAGAGTTGCCGTCCTTCTCCAAGCTGCTGACGAATCTGATGGACGAGATGCCGACGGCCACGACGCTGCGGATCTTTGCGACGTCAAGGCTGCCAGCGTCCAAGATGGACTGGGACCCGGTAACGAACCCATTGCTTAAACATATCCATGTGTTTAACATGTTGCCGGTACTGTCGTCAACGTCCATGGAGCCAAGTTTCCCTCCGATACATTGCGAAGTGTTTCAGAACAAGGACATGAGCAGAGAAGAAGAGGAAACGAGTGTGAGGGACTTTTTGCTGGGTGCAAACGACAAGAAAGTGGATTTGGTGCATGTGTTTCGGATGGAGCTTGAGCTGGGGAACTCAGCGGCAGTGTACGATGAGCGCAAAAAACAGGACAAGGTGAACAGATTCATCCAGGACGCTGAAGTCGTGAAAGAACATTTGGGACTGTGGTGTTTGTGGAAGTTCGTGGAGCTAGAGCTGCAGGCCAATTTACAGGCGTGTATTGTGGACGACCCAGACAACGTGAACAACAGGAAGAAGCGCAAGCAGCAAGAAGACGATCCTGATATCGACGATTCGATGATGGGAGAGGGCATTGATAGCGACTTCACGGAAGATGGAGCGGTGGGTGAGGAAGAGGGCACGGACGAGATGATGGAGTGCAGCAATGCAGAAGATAGCGCTGGTAAAGAAGGCAAGTCGGCACAAGTGAAGACGGATCGGCTAATTGCGAGATATATTGGTAATGTTGAACTTGATGAGGACACGAAGCTCAAAGTTCGACCAATCTTGAAGGTTTTGTCGTGGCTGTCAGCGCAGTCGAAGCTTTGTGGGGTGTTAGAGGCCTCGCCACGGTTATTAAAGACAGCTGAGATCGTTCGAAACCGGTTTAGCAACTCGCCGGGAACGAAACAAGTCCGAGCGTGGGTATTCCTCGAACGACGGTGCCACTGTCGCGTTGTAGCTGAGTATTTGACTGCTGCCTTGGCAGGTTTAAAACTGCCTCCAAGTTGCTGCATGCTCGGTAGTAGCAACGCTCGTATATCGGGGGCGTTGCGGTTTTCGTCCTTTCTGAAAGTGATGCAGATGTTCACCAATTACGAGACGAAGATCATGGTGACCACTTCGGTGGCGAAGAAATCGCAGAAGATACGCATGGCTCCGCCGCCGTGTGACCTCGTTGTGGTAATGAACGAGTTGCTGGAGCCTAACAAACTGTACGAATATGGGAAGCGAGCAGATATCACGAGAGGTTTCATCAAGTATATTACGGAGGACACTGTGCTGGCTCGCAAGAAGTTCGAAGGTCTCGTTCGCCAGATGCAGGAGTTCATTCACCTCGAGCAAGAAGAAAACCGAGTCCACGCCTCGATAGCTCAACCAGCTTCTACTTCTTTAGAGATCAGCAGTCTACAGATGCCGCAACCTCCATCCACTTCGACAGAAGCTACTACACCAAGCTCAGCGGACAATACGCTGGCCTCGCTGCAAGCTGAAAGCCGACTCTCGGTCATTCCGGAACGGGTTCAGCCTGTAGTGAATCCATACGAACTGATCCATCAAGACACAGGAGCGATTCTGAACGTGACGAACAGCGTGTCGTGTTTGAGCAAGTTCTGTGATACACTTCCTGGTTTGGATACCTACGACCGGCGGCCGCAGTACATCGTAAGGCGCATTTCTGTTGTCAAGCACATGGCACCGTCACTGAAAAGAGCGAAAAAGAAGCTGTCGAAGTACAATTCGAAGCTTACAGACAAAATTGACGTGCTGAAAGCCGAAGCAGAGCAGCGAGCCAACGCTGCGATGGACGAAAACGGGGACGAAAGCAAAGATGGCGACGAGGAATCATCTGCAACGGATTCACGTTTTCACTTTTCGGCTACATTGAAACTACCAGGCGCCTTGGGTATAAAGAAGCAGCTTCATTCGCAGCAAGTAGAAACGCAGGATGAAGCAAAGGGCATTGTTGCCTTCAAGGCCTGCCAAGAACTTTTGAAGAAGGGGCTGTTGGATCGACACTTTCGCTCCAAACTCCTAGACGACCAAGTGGCAACTATTCACAAAGATGACATGGGAACGAGCAGTAGCAATGGTGACAGTACTGCGACAGGAGATGATACGATCGTGCTGGGAGAGAACGACGAAGCGCCTGCTCAGCTTACTGATCTGTCGACTCAATCGTCGTATGACTTACCGCCAGTAAGTGCTGTGGAGTTGAGTTTGCGACCGATCCGAAGCCTCACACAAGAAGCTGCCAGTAGTAGTGAGGAAGGCGAGGAGTGGTCGACAACAATGTGCTTCTACGGCCTCAGTGGAGCACACTACGCTATTCTGGCGACTAATGAGCTGTATACTGGCAATACCAACACGGGCTGGCGCTACGATTTCGCAACAAGCGGCGTCATGTCGCCCGAGATCCAGCCAATAACACTGGCAAAGCGTCCAATGGAGCTGACTTTAACAAAGCAGGAGCTTCACGATGTGCTGCACTTTCATTTGGTGGTAATGCGTCTCGCCTGTATGGGAGTTCAAGACGCTGTGCGTGATGTGGACATTGCGAGTGACAACGTTTGGAACGAATTCTCCGAACAAAATGACAAGGGGTATCTGGTGGTGCCGAGCGTGATGGATGAGTCGAAGCAACCACCGACACTGTCACTGGACTGGAATTATGTACGTGAGATCATAGGGAAGCCTTTGCTTGAGCCTCTATGGCCACTCCCGACAACAGGTGCTACTGGAAACACTAAGGACACAACTGACGAGTGGATCTGCGTTCCAATGTATCGCTTAAACGTTAGCTACGTCGTGCAGGCTATTAGTGATCGCACTGTGGATGATATCCGCAAGGAGTATTTGGCAGACGAGAAGTCGTGGACGACTCACCTGAAAAAGGGAAAGTCGACTCCAGGAAATCCGATCCTGGGTCGTTGGCATACCCGTCAGCAGCTCGAGGAAGCTGACGCGGACCAGCCGTTGGTATATGGCATTCAAGTCCCTCCCATCGTCCCCATTATTCGGCGAGTCATGCAGCGCAATAACGACGAAGGAAGCATTGCGCAATACAAGACCAAGTTTAACGAGCGCTTGCTGGTCCCGCAGTACACGTCTCGCCTGCGTCTGAGTAAAAGTCGGTTCTTCGATGCGATGGGACTCGTTCCGCTACTCTACGAGTTCGAGCGCAAGTGTCAGATCTCGCACCTCATGGGAAAAATCGGTCTGGAACTCGATATGACTTTGCTGGATGACGCGACCACAAAGCCTGCTTACGAACGGCTGGAAATCCTCGGGGATACGTTCTTAAAACTCGAAACCTCGTGGTATATGTATGAGCAGCGGAAGGATATTTATCAGGAAGGGCAATTAACGCAGCTGCGTCGTGACATTATTCGCAACGACAGACTCAACCAGTTCGCTCTAGCAGCTCGTCTTCACCACTACATGTTGTACCCGGCCGAAGTGGAGCAGCATCCTTTCCAATGTTGGAAGCCTTCGTGTATGGGTAAGACGCCTGATCCCGTGGTGGCTCCTGCCAAGTGGATCGCTGATGTCCTAGAGGCAATTACGGGTGCATATCTGGTTGGTCAGGGAGAAAAGGGCGCTCGTTACTTTCTCAAGTGGATTGGTGTCACTGTTCTCGAACATCCGTCTACCAACTTCGCGCGGCCGTTTTATCCGGATTGCTTTCCCAACGAGCTTTACGACGCAGCGATGACGTCGCGTGGAGGAGCAGAACTTCCATTAAGTTTGAATTTCAAGGTGGCACAATTCGAAGACCTCCCGAAACGACTCATGCTTCTTCAGCAGCGTTTGAAGTACACGTTTCGCAATAAGCGCTTATTGCTGGAGGCTGTGACACACCCGTCGGTTGGTCAGCTTGTCCTGCATATTGACCAAATGGATGCGAATGGTGCTGATGGCAATGCTGATGGCAATGCTGGAGGTGACATCGAAGTTATGTCACGTTCTCAGAAGAAAAAGAAGACGGTATGGAAAGGTGACTACGAGCGACTGGAGTACCTTGGCGACGCTTTGATCGAGTATTTAACTCTGTCTTACGCTTTTCTGATGTACGATAAGTGGCTGCCTGGATCGCTTTCGCAGTGGAAGAGTGCGACCGTATCGAATGACGCGTTAGGCAAAACAGCGCTGGCTTGTTTTGGTGTGGACGAGTGCATTTTCGCTGGAGCTGTTCGTATCGATCGCGAGACGATGGACCGTGTCGCTGGTATTGAACGGAAGTACGCGCGAGCTGAAGCCAGCACGGGGCTGAGTCCAGTGTTTGAAGCTGTCGGGGTATCGAAGAAAAAGGCAAAGAGCAAAAATGCTCCAAATGGTGGCAACAGTCACACGCTGCCGAAAATGTTTGCTGACGTCTTCGAAGCGCTCGTAGCTGCGGTTTTCCTGGACTCGGGTCGTGATTTGCAGCTTGTCCGCGATGTTTTCATGGGTCCACTGCTGCAAACGGTTGGACAGGATGCCTACGCCTACGTCTGTCATGAAAGTGGCCTAGCGATGGACAATACAGGCGACGAGTTGATGGAAGATTTGGTGTTCTCGAGTGATGAAGAGGACTAATATTATGAGTGCAATCGATGGGCTGGCATTGGCAACTTCAGTGTTTTTTTTTTCCTAAATTGTTGTAGATTTGATTTTCCGTGTCTCGCTTAAGAGATGCAGGAAACGAAATGATCGTGGATGGTGCAGTCTGCAGCCGTATGGACTTTGAACTTGCTAACGGATTTCTTCTACGTGATCATTCACTTTGTACTTGTTTATTAGTAGTTTTATCTCCAGCAGTTTAGACATCAGCGGAGCCTTCACGTACTGCTCGATGCTCAGCAGCTCGTTGAACAACACGGGAAGCCGTGCTGGCTAAACTGCTCATTGCAGCGTACTGCGATCGCGTGAGGTCACGAGCTTGCGGGTCGGCACAACACACGGAGCCGATGACCGTCTTGCCGTCTGGCCCCATCAACGGGAAGCCGCAGTAGAAGTTAATCCCCATCTTGCGGACACTCGACAAGGCACTGAAGCGCACATCGGCCTGGACATGGCGAGATACGAGAGGATGGGGGTCGAGAATGGTCTGAGCGCAGAAACCCTGCTCTCTCGGGTACGACATACCACCAGGTACTGCCGGGTGAGTGGAGGCCAGCACGTGAAGCTGAGCCTTGTCGACGACAGTAATCATGCTGACAGCACACGCAAGCTCCTTTCGACGCCAACGAGCAGATAATACCAAGTTCAGGTACGTCACCAAGCTCGTTCAGCTGCTGCTGACGGATGAGTTCTAGCCGCTTATACTCGTTCGATGGGATCGGTGGGATGATAGCTTCCATGGGGTCTTGAGGGAACTCGATCTGGTAGCTTCTCGAGTCGGCGTTGGCGAGCGGATAATCGTCCTCCCAGCATGGTGTCTCGCCCCACATTCGCTTGAGACGCTCCACATCGTCAACTGGTTCGTCCTCGGCTTCTTCTGTTCCATCATCGTCAGTCTCTTCGTCGCGTTCCCCGAGTAGAGGCAAACCTCTTCTCGACACACCTGCTGACGCACTGCGGATCCTCGCAGCGCTTGATCGTCGCCGAGCACGTTCTTCGTCCACAATATCCTTCATGACACTCAACACACTGGCTTTGCGTTTGCGCTGAGCCTCTCCACCTGCAGTCGCGTCGGCCAAGGTTTCCAGCAGCAGATCATTGAGAGATGCCGGTCGAGTCTTGAGTGTAGGGCGAGTACGTCTTGAACCAATACCACGAAGACTGCCACCTGGAGTACTGTTCGCACGGCCAACTGGAGACGAAGAGTCCGAGATCACTCGTGCGGGACGGAGATCTTCCTCGGTTACTGCGGTGTATCGAGCTCGATCCACGCGAAGGAGGCAGCGCTCACACACACGCACTTGTTCGATCTGTGGACGGGTATCTCCACGTGCACGATGCTCGCGCTCTTGGGCGTGCGCACACTTTTCACAGACGAGGAATCCGCACAGACAGCACAAGCGTTTCCGTGTACGCTTGAAGAATGTGGAGAACGAGCGACGACAACAAGCGCAACGAGGAACATTAGCGACAGTCTCGAGTGGAAGACGCGTGCTGTTAATGATGACTTGCATTCCAAGACGACGACGTCGTACAACCAAGAGGAATCGGTGGCAACTGGCTGCCAGACGAAGCAACCAGAGACGTGCTAGACGTCGTTCGTGGCCTGCGCGTTTAAATGCGTCGAGAGCGTCAGGGGGCAAGTACTCGCCGTGGAAAACCACGCGTGTGGCTCGACCGCTGGGATCTTCCTCGAACGAGTAATTGATGACGACATTTGGTACATGCGGTGTTGAACGTGGCGGTGGTGCTAGGGCGTTATCCAACACGACGCTGGAACGTGCGATGGACACGAGCGTTCGTGTGAAAGCTGGCGGAGGCGTGGCACTGATAGCACTCGCAGTGGATGAAGCTGTCCTTCTTGTTGACTGCTCTTCTTTTGCTCGGTCTCGAGGGTGCAGCAACTCCAAGAAACACCACGACTCGTTCTTGGAGAACAGGCCCCCGCTCTCGAAAGTCGCAGTCTTGACGGACAACTCTCTGTTCTCGAATGCTCTCGCAGGATTGCCAGCACTTCGTTGGATCCTTATCGTGCGCAACTGCTCGCCCTCGACAAATTCTCGACGGTAAATACAGCGCATCATATCACGGAACATGTCGGTGGAAGCAACACGAAACACAAGACGCATTTCCTGTACAGTACAGGGCAACGTTCCCTCAGCTAGAACAGCGAACCCCTTTGGACCCCAACGCGTTTGATGTCGACGATCACGAACTGTGAGACGAGTGAAAAGCTTCATAGCGTCGCTGTTCGCATAGCCTCGCGGAGATTTCTTTCGCTTCCAGACGCTTTCGTGCTTTTCACTGAGACTCGCTGCCGCCAATTCCATGTCGAGTTCGCCCCAGTTGACGCTGGAAACTGCTGCAGCAGCCACTTCGTGCAACCGCTTATCACTCAGTCGAGCCGACTCCATCATGGATTCCACAGCCGGGGGTCTTCGACGCACTGAGCTTGGGTGGTTTCCGTAGCCGTCCCACGACGGTTCTTCGCTGCGTTGGCTGTTGTGTTCATACGCAGCGCTACTCTCTCCGCTCTCGTAGCTGTAACTGGCGTTCAACATTGCAACAGAAGCGGAGCTAGCCCCGTTCACCGCCATCGACTCGGAGAAGTCTTCACGAGACTTTTGCTGCCGCGGGGTCCCGTAGCTTCGGGATGCCGGCATCACGAATGCCTCACCCGATTGATAGTATCAATTTGGTACGTTCCAACTGAAAACGACCAGTGCCTTGGAAACCTTCCTTTGCCTTTGCAGGAGAGGGCTCAGGATTAGTCCTCCACGCTCCGAATGTACACGCGATGACATGGAAGCGACTGCCGCAAGGAGTGCAACAACTGGACATCGCTTCGAATGCTTTTGAGTCAGATGGTCTGCAAGGATAGCCTCGTAGGATGGGGGGGGCCCATTGACCGTCACTAATTTCACAACACCATCATGGTGCTTATGAGCTTGGAGCGCATTGAGATGGTCTCCGATCTGGTCGTCCGTACATGTCGGCAAACGCATCTTCATGTGATACAATACAGTTCATGCACGCTGTATTTTGGCTCCATGCTTCCGACGGTGAATGAGCGGAGACTGCAAGCGGTGTCGTGTTTACAACGAAGTTGCGGTCATCGGAGTCAGGAACAAAGTCATTGTCGGGGGTTGCAGCTGTTGCTGTCGAGAACGTTGTCGCTGCTTCGCCTTCAAAGTTTGGCTCGCAAGTTGGCCGGAATTTGAGGCGAATATTGTAGGAACATAACGCGACTTACGTATGAAATTCTCCATCGTTGTATTGGACGCTACCAAAGCGGAAGACAACAAGTTCGATAACGGCATCAAAGTCGAATCTCGTTTCGATCAGATTGAATTCTTGTGTTCGCTCGACACAGATGTTATTATAGTGTCTGTAGTACAGACTCTGTACAGTGTACGACTCGACGCGAAATGTATTGCTCGTTTGACTAGAATCCTAAAATAACTAATAAAAGTACATGTGTAAAATAATACTGTAGTACTGGATTCCATAGCTCTCAAACTTTTCTTAAAAGAAAAAAAACACCTTTTTAAAGCCAGGCACAACATTTGTGCTTAAAATACTTTTTAAAAACAAACAGAAACTTTTTAAATAAGTTTCTATTTTCTTCTTCAGAAAATACATGGAGGCGTTGTCATGGCGTCTTTCAAAAATGATAGTGAACCATTCACTTGATGCCGCCAAGGGGGACAGGACGACAAAGCCCTGCGTTTGTTGGGACCTGGTTGTCGAAGAAGAAAAACGGTAGCGCTCCTACCAATCGCGACGACGATGAACACGCCCCAGATACGTCTTTCGTGCACGGTGGGCCCCACCTGCGTGCCTCTCAAGTCAATGTATCCGCTATAGATAGGTCCGGGCATGATTGTGCCGAACCACGTTTCGTACCCGGCGGGCTCGTTGAGAGAACAATCGCTTAACCATGCCGGGACTCGAGACATAGGGACGTCCGAATCTGCCAATTCAGAAGCGCCGCTCAATTGAACGCATGCGCAACTTCTCTCCTGTCAAATTTAACGTCTCTGAAGACAATTGAAGATCATGTATCGACCAATTGGAACGTGGAGTCGCAAAAGGCGGGAGCTGGTCTGTCATATTTAATATTGATTCGACTCGATATAAGGTTCGATTGAACCTTTTCCTATTGGGGTAAAGTGCTGGACAATGAACAACACCTCCACGAATTTTCCGAGCGCTCGGTATACCATCGGCGTGACGTTCCAACATACCGGCCGTCCTAGTGGCAGCGACGCCAAGAAATAGATCCCTAGTAAGCATAATTTCCAGGGCGTAGGTGGAAAATTTCGGTGTTGTCAACTGAAGCTGCGATAAGCTGCAAGATGAGCGAATGCTACCAATGTCTGACAGGTTCCAAGATGGCTGGGCAGTTCTGGTTGGTAGAAGATACAAAGACTTGTTACCTGTAGAGTTTCGTGCTGTACGACCGAAGAAGAAAGCACGTGGTGTACCGCTTAGCCTTTCTTTCAAGCATATTATGATCAAGAGAGTGCTTGCTGAGTACGCTTTTGGGAGACTGGGGGTTCTGTCCCAACAAGTAGACGCAGCGTACGACACATTTTTCAGCCCACTAGCATTAGTGTCACACTACACTAATAGTGTGCGCTGTCGCCGTCTGCGTCACAAAGAGGACGACAAGTATCTTCGCTATGAAGCGCAACTCAAGCAATTTGGTGAGAACCTCGCGGCCGAGCTGAAGCGGAAACGACAAATGTATTCGGACAGTCGCAGGGCGGCTGCAACGAGGTCCAGACGAGTCGTAGCCAAACTCCTGTCCGTAAGGACTTGGTCCTCTTGCTATTCGCAGGTTTGTCCACTCGTAATAAGGCGAACCTTATACAGATTATACCGATGAGTAAGACATCTACTCCAGTCTGAATAGGATTCGTGTCCCCTGTGCACCACCAAAAGCACCAAATGGTGACACAGACGCAGCCCTCGTGAACTTCGGTTTCAGTTCTTTAGTATTTTCGTCTACGGCCGGTCCCAATTCAGAAGCTCTTGAACGACGGCATGGCTCTGCCTCGAGCCAAAAAGCGCTCGGCCACTGTCTTCTCTCGTGATGAAATCGGCGTCGAGCAGCTGCAGTCGCTCAAGGAAAAGTTTGCGGATGGAGACTTGAACGAGAAAGAGTTCGTGAGTCTGTTCCGCGAGATCGTCGACGCCTCACTCAGCGAGACTCAACTCACAGAATTGTACAATGCCATTCCTCTCCTTTGGCGTCTTCCTTCATGCACCCAACTGATGCTCGTTTCGTTCGTGTAGATTCCAGAAAATCGATGCAAATTCCGATGGAACGGTGGACTGGGATGAACTCACCAACGTACGTAGAGATAGATCTTCATATTGCGCTCCACCCTCTGGCTAATGATTGACTGGGATCAGTACATGTTCCTCAGCGGCAGTGGCAGTGACGAATACACTGGCGACGATGGAAATTCCTGCTACGACACTGCGTACCCTGAGAAATACGCAGGCGATAGTGGCAATGGCTCTGGAGGCACGGGGTCTTCCATTGCGACGGACATTATGGGCAACGTCACAGGAGGAAGTGGCGGCTTCCTCAGTCTAGGCTTGTTGCCTCATCATAAGGACGTGATCACTCGAATAGTGCGCTTAGAACGACCCAGCGTCTACCTCACGACCAGTAAAGACGGCAGTGTGCGAACGTGGAGTGCCAATACTCTGGCTCCCCAGCAAGTCTTAGCTTCCGGTCGTGACTGGCTCACAGACTGCTGCATCATGAAGCGCTCGAATCGTCTGGCAGTGTCGTCTATGAATCGCACCTTGGGTTTCTACGACTTGAACTCTGGCCAACTCATCGGTGACCTTGTGGACTATTCAAGACGCCAGTGCATCCCGTTGTGTCTCGCGTACGTTGAAAGACCCTCGGACGATCGGGAAGCCATTGTGATCGGAGACGACACTGGCGGCATTTCGATCTTTACGTGCTCGAATCAGTGGCTATCGTGTGATGGCCGCTCCCCTCCCCCTGGCGCTACTACCGCAGCGAACTCTACCAACGGTGCTAGCAACGGAAGTGGCGTTAGTCAAGGTACAGTTAACTCAGGACCGACCCCACCATCAGGATCTACCACCGGGAATAGCGCTGGGAATACCCAGACAGCTACACCGACGAGCAACTCCAGTTCTGTTGGAGGAAATCCTGCGGGTAGTGCGATGCTGGAAGCTCAGGGCTTTTCGTCGCGTGTCAAGTTCCAGAAGCACACGGACTGGATCACTCGAGTTAAGTGGGTCAACGACATGCGCGCTGTAGTGGCGACGTCGCTGGACGCCACCGTGTCGATCTTGGATGTCGATCGACTGGTGGTCAAGTTCGAGTACACTCGACATCGCAAGGGAGTGTTCGACTTGGCCTGGTGTGCGAGTACTCGTCTGATTGCTAGCTGCGGGATGGAACGAGACATCCACATCTGGAACCCGTACAGCTCTCAGCGCGCTGTCGCCACTCTTAAAGGCCACACAAGCTCCGTGCTGCATCTCGTGAGTGACGACGAGAACTTCCAGATCGTGTCGGCGGCTGCAGATAACACGGTGAAAGTTTGGGATGTTAGAAACCATCGCTGTCTCCAGACATTCATCGTAGACCGTCACAGAGGAGGCCACGCGACTAGTGCTGTAGCTTCAGGGAATGCAGCAGCAGTGTCGATGTATACTGGGACTTCTGGAGCGAATGTAAGCGGCGAGAACCGCGTGTCTGCGCTGCTGTTTGACGGTAAGAAGCCGTGTCTTATGACGGCGACGACGCAGCTCACTCGATGGACTGTGAAGTCTACAGACGTAGGTTCACAGAGTCTTGATGACTTGGATGGAAGCTCAGATATCTCCTCTAGCACTAGGAAGGCTAAACTACGCGGTGGTACTTCCGTGGAACGTCCTGTGCGTCTGGCCTGCTACAACAGCGTGTTTCATCAGGTAGTGACGGCTGCGATGGACGCGGAGTCTGCCATTAAGACCTGGAGCGCAGAAACCGGAGAAGAAATCTCAAGCTTCGCACGTCCGCACGGCTCCAATCCAGTGACCAGTATCGCCTTCGACCATGCGGGACGACGTCTCCTTACCGGTTCACACGACGGCGAGCAACTCAAGATGTGGAATTTCAGCAACGGCGCATTGGTGAAGCAATTCCACAAGAAAGAACCCCAAGTCGTGAGCTCTTTATTGTTCACGACTACACCTGCCACAGCTGGAACAGTTGCCAGCACTGCGCCGCTACCTGACGATCCGTCTGGAAGCTCTGACGAAGCTGCTGCGATGACCAATGCGCCTCGAAAGCGCAAGCCACGGGACATTATGCTGCTGCCAGCATCCTTCGGGATGGACCACGAAGGTCGACGAGGCAACTCTGCGTTGATGGCGCAGACGGAACTGCCGTCTCCGACACGAGTGCGTCTCCAGCAAGGCCAAGAGCATCCGACACCAGTCCCTCCACTCAACTCAACGCCTCGAGCTCAACCTGGAGACACTGCGTCAAGTCCCAGACCTCCACGAACCACTCGAGAGCCCGAGACGTCTCGCTATCGACAACACGAAGTGACCAGCATCATGGACATCGAACGCAACTTGCGTGTAGGTATGGGGGACTTTATCTGCCAGAGATTCGTGTGCTGCGTAGGCTGGGACCGTCAGCTCTTCGTCTGGGCTGACAAAAACGACGAGTCCGAGTCTTTACCAGTGCACATTCTACCTCCAGATAGCGACGACGACGACAGCGAGGAGTTAGAATACGCAAGACGCGGCAGACGACGTCGTAGACGACAGCATCACACGATGGATGTGCTCGCGTTGGCGTACGTGCCTCCTGCTTACGTGGCTACAGCTGGACTGGATGGTTTGGTGTTGCTGTGGTCTCTCAATTCTGGGGAGTTGGTAGCTCCACTTCACCAGAATGCGGGACCAATCGAGTCGCTTTATTACGCTGAGAAGCTCGAGCTCCTGTTTGCTGCTGGAGAGCGAGGCGTCTTGCTGTGTTTCGACCGATCCATGGCCACTCAAGCTGAAATCCCACTGGATGTATCAAAGGAGTCTTCGGAGTCTGTCACTGCACTGCGGTGCGATAAAGCCAACACGCATCTCGTCTCGGGCGACGCTGCAGGTTGCGTCAAAGTGTGGGAGCTTCGCATCGCGCCAAGTCACGAAGGAGTGGAACTCGCGTTGGTTTGTACGTGGCGTCTTGGCTGCACTCAAACAGGCGCAATGAGCTCCCTATCAGCGCCAAGTCGTCGCGTTCTCTGTGCGGATTTCGTCGAGAATTTAGCTCGCGTCCCCGAACTCTTCTTGGTCTTCTCGTGTGCCGATGGAGAGATCAGTTTGTGGACATTAGACGGCGTAAAAGTGGGCAGCTTTGGAGGACGACATCGTACGTGGCAACTGGGCCGACCAGCAACTTATGCGTTTTCACAGTCCTGCTGCGACTGGGGATGGCTACCTCGACGAACGTCTCGGATGTCCTCGTCGATAACTCGCGAAGAGGTCGATATACTCGATGAGAATGAACCCGAAGACGCTAGTGCTATGGACGACACAACAGCCAACACCCTGCAGCCTCCTACGTCTGTCTTCATCAAGAACTGCGCGATCAGTGCACTCAACTGCTCAATCTCCGAACCTCGCGAGAATTTCTTACTGGAAGACACAATGCCGAAACCTGGAGAGGTCTGGATGTGCGTCTCCGGCCACCGCTCACGAGCTGCAGCGCAGAACGCAGCCAAGAAGCAGGAGGATCTGGAGGAGGAGGATAGTTCTCTTCGTATTGGCAGGAAGAGTGTGGCACTTTCCACTGTGGGTAACGCCGCCATTCTCAGTCGACGCAGCAGCCCATTTGGATGCACTAACAACGTTGAGTCTCGGAGTCTGGCCACGACTTTACACCTCAAGAGGAAAATCGCAGACGTCAACGGAGAACTGACCGATCTCATCACAATTGTCAAGGTCACGCGTGGCGAGGTAACGGAATTCGAAGATAGGACTCGATAGAATGCCCATGGTGCTGACTTGCCATGTCTGTAGATTTTCTATTGGGACAGCGCAACCCACAAGCCGCTTAGTGCGCTGAAAGCATTGAGCATGAGCGACTTTGTACGTAAGGCTGGCTGGACCAAGCACGCTCTTCTCTCGCACTTCATCGGACGCACATTTCTGTAAGTTTTCCAGACTTGCTAGTGGTTGAATGCTCCCTAAATGTCTGTGTATTGCTACCACAGAGATGGCGACAATTGTTTTCGCGTTGCAGCCATCGTCGTGCGATCTCTTGATCCGGTGGGTTGAGACAATACGCTGCTTTCAATGGAATGTATTTCTAACTTGTAGGTTTGTATTTTAGACAAAACCTGACAAGAAAACTTACGCTTTGATCGATTCGGAGGCAAAGGAGCACGCGCTGCAGCCACTAAACGAAGCAATTTCCTGTGTCCGATTCAAGATGTCTGGGTCGCCTCGAACCGAGCGATCGCAACGAAATGTCGCGTCCTCGTCTCCACGTCGACGAACAGCATCTTCGTTTCCCGGGAACTCTCCGATGGGAACTCAACCGACAACGATGCAACCTCTGGTTGTTGCAGACCAAGCACTCAACGACCTGATCGCTGGCTCCAGTGCCAACCCGTCGTCTGCAAGAGGCAGCACTCCCGAAGCACTCGCACTCGCCTGTAGTGTTGGCATGGGAACTCGCACTCTGCCGCTTATTCGACCGCGCGAGAAGCGTGTGATGGGCGGTCTTCTTCCAAAACGCTCGTCCGTACGGAACCGCATGGACCCTACAGCAGACGTCCGTCGCATTCACAACCCAGACGATATCCCAAAGAGCTTCCGTGCCATGCTACAGCGGAAACGAGAGAACAAGGATAACAGGTTCGAGGGAATCCTCCCTTCGTGAACGTTTCGGCTGGATAATTAACTACCGAAAACGAAATCAATCCCCGCTCGTGGTCAGATTATGATCACCCTTGCCAGATCCTGGCACTCTATCGTAAGAACCCTCTTTCTGCTAAACCTAAAACGGTCTAGAAAACAGCAACTGTGTATTCGTGCTCATGCAAACCGAAGTGCTCAAGTGGAAACACTTTGACCAGCAACTTCTTCCAGTGGTGACGTAGGGTTCGTCACGGGGAGATTGCTCTCCATGTGTCGATCGCTTCTATAAGTAGGTGCCGTTCAAATGTAAATACACTTAAGGATCAACTTTAGGAAAGTAATCAAGGAAATGTGTAAGTGTCGGGCAAAAGGCCGCGACAGGCAGGGGTTAATGGTAACTCCAAAATCGGTGAAGTTAATATTGTGAAAATATCACCTGTAGACCAGTTAATATAAAAAATATCACCTAATATTTTCTTTTGAGACAATATGATATTATTAAATATCAACTTAATATTAGTTAATACGATATTATATTTTTCAATGATTGCGTAATCGGGCTACATTAACTAATCAGATGTCGTTAACGCTCGACTAGCTGAAGTATTACTAATCAACCGTGAGTACCGGGACAATTGTGAGTGACGGCAAGGTTGGCGTTGTGTGTTGGCACTGCTGAGCGCATTAATCTAGCGCCACAGGCAGCAGGTTTATTAGACGCACGATGTCGACGAGGAGATCGGAAGAGAACAAGAACAAATGTCTTGATTTCGCTCTATCAACGTTAAACAGCTGCAAGCGTTTGCAGTTTTCCATCTCGATCGCCTTTGTCTGTGTCACAGTGAAATACTAGAGCAAATACTCGTCAGTCTTAAAGCCTACTGCTTTTCTAGAACCTGATCGAAAAAGTTATTTGGCTCCGCTCGGTTCACAGAGGTAAGCTGGCAAGAAACGTACTTAAGTGGGAAAATATCATAAAATATCATGTAGTATCTAATATTTTTCAGTTCTCCGAGCTAATATAAAAATATTATGTTAGCTTTTGCAAAAATGAGTTACTATTAATATTTAATATCGAAAATAGTACTATTACTATCAAAAATATCATATGATATTTGGTTACCATTAGCCCCTGGCGACAGGACCGCGGAGTCTGGTGAGGCTGCTCCTCTCGGGTGAGCGGCAGGCGTCAAAACGCAAAGTGGTGAGCAGCCTCCGCTAGAACACCGCTGTTCCACAAAAGATACAAATAGCAAATAAGTCAATACTAAAGTCTAGATAAATGCACTCTTGTTGAGCACACCATCTTGGCAGCGCACAGCCAACGATGTCCTTGTGCACACAGTCCTTGATATAGTCCTTCGCCATTGCACGCATGTGTACTCAGTGTAGCATGTTGTAGTGCAGCCGCAAGCTGCACTACCAGACGCATGAGTGTCCTTGGGATGTGTCTTGCAGACACTGGCACTGGACGGTGGCTCGTAGACAGGGGCACTGGACACTGGCAGACGGCATTGCACTGGCGCTTGACACGCAGGTAAGTTACAGCTCACACTCCCACTTGATCTCGGCGACGCACTTGGATGTCGACGCGATCACACACACGCATCCTCGTTGCCACCATAGTCCTAGCAGTAGCGTAGTCAAAAGCACGCATGTAATAGCAGTCCACACAGTAACATCACTCCCACTCGATCGCCCTCGTCTTCATCAATGTCGCTCAGGTACAGCCTCCGCATCAACAGCAGTAGTCAACGCAGTAGCAGTAGTCGTAGCTGTAGCCATGTCATTGGATATGTTGTCGTCGCTCGACACAATAGGTAAGACCTTCATAGCCTTGCGAAAGTGTGTGAATTTCACCACTGCAAGCGCTTTTGTCATGATATCAGCCACCATATCCTCAGTTCCGATGTGTTGTGCTGTAAGTTGCTTCAACTCCACATGGCGTCTGATCATGTGGTACTTGTTGTCGATATGTTTCGATTTCGAATGTTTGCCAGGTTTCGCAGTTAAGCGCTAAGCTGCTTCAAGGATGGGATAGCCGCGAGATCAAGCGTATTCCGGGTATACGTTTCAAACGTCCGGATCCCCCGTTCGCACAGCATGACATTAGGGTTGCCGCCTGCAAGAATGTATTCGGCCGCATTCAGCAGCTCGTCATAAGTGGCACTGAAACCTCTTTTTAAAAGAACAGGTTTCCCGCATTCCCCGAGCTTGCGCAGCAAATCAAAGTTTTGCATATTCCGGGTGCCTACCTGCAAAATATCCGCATACTCGGC